ACGATGGAATCTGTGCTTTCATGATGCTTGCACCTGTCGATGTCTTCGAATGAACTGACCATTTGAGATCGAGTAGTGTGCCACCACTCAGAACAACGCGTTCATCTTCATAGTTTTCAATGACGATGTTACTGTCATTGCTCGTCAGTGCAATGACACCTCGTTGGCTGGAAGTTGTTGATGCAGAGGCGTTGGTACCGAGATAGTAAGTGCCAGCTCGGATGATGATGCAGAGTGTTGTTTGAGTGTTTTGACGATGAAGACGAGCTCGATGAAGCGCAGCTTGAATGGTTTTCATGGGTTGCTGAAAGGATCCATGAAATGCGTCGTTTCCTTGTGAATGGTGAACAAAGATGGAGTGATGACAGGATGTTTTGAGTTTGTTGGCGTTCGTTGATGCAGATGTTGGTAGTAGTAGTGGTGAATGAAAAGAGTGTGATGTGTTGTGACATTGATTGATTTGCAGAGCGCTTTGTGCGAGAGTTGTCCAGTTGGCTTTGAAAGATGTTGGTGCAATGTAGTTTACCATTTCAATGGTAAAATCACGAAGAGCACAATCATATTCGGCAAGTATATTCGGATTATCAACGCGACCATAACGCGGATGACGAATATCTTTTTCATTTAACGCTTTTGACAAGTCGTCATTGTTAAAATGAAAAGTTACCGCTGGAAAAATCTGTACTGAAATTAGAAACAGAGCGAGTACGGAATACGAATACATATCAGTTGTACAAAGGTAAATTCTATAAGTATACCTTTGGTTGATAAAGATTTTTATAACTACTAGTTAGTAGATAAAATCAAATACACAGTGATGAAAGAAAAAGAATTTTCTAATAACTATTGTAAAAATTGAATCTGTATATCTTAGTTATCTTTTTGGTTAGCTAGACTAAAAGTGATCGTTTTCTTCGGAAGCCTAAATAAAGATGATTTTCTAAAGCAGAAAATCTTCATTAAAATTTGAAACGAAACATGGTATTTTCTGTTTTTATCTTGTCGGGCCAGTCTTTTCTTCATGTTCTTTTTATTGATAAGCAAACGAGTGGTGTAATCTCTTTACCTTAGCCTGTCAACAAGTAGACCTAGAAACTGTTAATGCCTGCATACATCTCTTCACTTTGTGAGGCTTTTATCTTATCATACTCGCTTATTTTAGTTTTGAAAAGTAAATGAAACTGAAAGACCGTAGTTTCTGTCAACATCATTTTGTCGTATTTAGAGAATGTAATTGAGTATTGAATTGATACGTGCTTTGACTCTCCTAGTAACAATGTATGTGTATGTGTTGCGAAGGTTAAACATGCACAGATCCTTGTGTACCTACGTTTCTATTAGTTGGATGTACTGATGAAATATGTAAGACAGCGTGTGTAAACAAAGATTCTACTATGTGCAAAGCTGCGGGTTCTAAAATCAGTGGCATGCGTATGTTTGTTGCAGTATCACTGACTATGAATCGATACACAACAGATGGAACTGTTACTTTAGCTTTGATTGTCAATGAAACGTTTTGTGTTTGATTTTGTTTTGTAAAAAATAAATAAAAATCGTGAAGTAGACTTCGGACTTGTTTGGATAGATGCATTGCTAATCATGGAAATCTAAAGAACTGTAACTTGCAATATTTAAATGTTTCTCAATGATCTACGAAATTCTGGATATATCAGCACTTAGCATTGTCCAACAAATCCATCTTCTCGTCCCAGAGATTTATAGCTTCGCTCGTTCTCTCTAGGCTGAATAATTTGTTGAGCACTTTCTTCTACTTTACATACACGGCTTTAGGTATAGACTACCACAAAGATCAATAAAGTTCGCTGCGGAAGCAGTTCGCTTGTGATCATATTACGTGTTTACGATAGTTTCTAATGTAAGAGAGTAAAGTAAAAAAGAAAAAAATCGTCGTAGTTTAGCTTTATCTTTCGTTTCAAAAATATTCCTTTCGCTGAAATTCGTCTTTTTACCGAAAATAGCGCGTAATCTCACCTTGCTCTAAAAACTTCGTTTTCGACGACGGAGTTTGGGAGAAAAGTCGACGTTCCGTAAGCAGCGCGCAGAGATAAATTATCGCTGACAAACATTTAACATCGTCTGATAAACTATTGGATGTATCTATAAAAGACAATGTAATAATCTCTTGTTCCAGCAGACGAATAATAAATGTTTCTAAAACTCTTTCTGTGCGTCGTGCTATTGCAAATAGCTTATGGCCAAAATACTATCGAGAACTTTATACTGTTCGATGCATCTAATGGGGATGCAACTATGCCACGTCCGTTAGATTCTGTAACAGGACCAATCAGTATCAACGTTCGCTTTCCATTCTTTGGCAAATGGTACAATGTCATCCGAGTATACAGTCATGGTTTGATTCTTTTTGGAAATGTTACCTATGCTTTACCGCATAATCCACCTGGTCCTTTTCCATTGAAAGATTTCGTATGTGCTGCACCATATTGGGCAGATACAGATCTTACAAAAGATTCATTTAGCAACATCTTCTATCGAGAAATTCTGGATGAGAGTACATTGACTCAAATTTCATCTATGATTAAAAATGGATATCCTCTACTGTCGGCTAGTCGAGTGTTATGGGCTTTCGTCGTGACGTGGTATCGAGTCGCTGGTCATACCGGAGATCCCGGTCGAAACACATTTCAAGTAAGTTCCTGCGATCTTTACTCATTGTTTCTGTTATTTTCCTTCTCTCAATCCATAGGCGATCATCGCAACCAACGGAATCTATTCATTCACTATTTTTACGTACAATCAAATTCAATGGGCCGCTGGAGCGTGGGGTGGTTATCCTCAAGTGGGTTTCAATGCAGGTGATCAACTCAATTATTTTACTGTAGAAGACTCGTTTTCAGCTGACATTGTCCATATTACACAACAATCCAATGTTGGTATTCCCGGTCAATTTATCTTTCTTACGAATGGTAACATTAGCAAGGTAGAATGCAATACAACTCAAGGTTTACAAAGTTCCCCATTTCGTGGTTCTATGCATGGTGGTTATCAATTCCGACTCTTTGGAGTTTGTTTTCCTGATAAACGTTACATTGTGGAAGTCAATGGTCAACCGCTCGACGACTGTCAAGTCACATCAGTTTTTATCACATGCACAATGCCAATGGTATCTGAAGGTCGACTTCAAATCGAAGTCCTTCGGTCTGATCGACAATCAATCGGACATACAGACTTTTTATCCTTCATGCCAGAAATGAATGGTGATGTGATTCTCTTCAATCATGGTGATTTGATTAATAAACCTCGAACGATTCAAGATCGCCGTTTCGATTTACAGTTTCTCAAAAACAATCTTACAACACATAATTTGTTTCGACTTGTTATCTACGATTACAGTACACAATATATCGCTAGTAGCAATGAATTTTATAATTTATCTACACAACGCATCGATCTTCCACTTGGTTTACTGAACCTTTCCAGTTTGAACAATTTGACGGTCAATTTTCAATCGATATTTCCTATCACTGGTGTTCCTGCCGATCAAGTTCATTTGTTAGATTTTTCATTCGAACTTATTCGGCCAAACACAACTACAACAGAAGCATACACATGGAAAGGCGCACAAAAATTCATCACACGCACATTTATTGTCCCGTATGCAATGCTGACGTCGTATTGTTCAACCTGGGTCACTCTACAATCCGATGCAATCACACGGAATGTAACAAGTCGTGTTCCTTCATGTCCATGTCGAGTGCTGAATACATGGGCTGACGAACAGTTTGGATTTAGTGCTGATCCTGTCTGTCATGGTCGCAAGTCAGGTCCATGGAATTGTCAATACAATAAACCTCGAGGTCGAGCATGTTACCGAAGAAAATCGCTCAACAGTGACGGCGGTGCGCATTGTTGCTATGATACTGCTGGTATTCTTATTTCCGATATACGACAAGGTAGTGGTTCAGTGAAGGCGCATTTTCCAGACACGATGAAAGCACTGTCGACATATCAACATTTCTTTACTGATTTTCTGCCTTACTTTTCATGCTGCGGTATCGCAACTGAAGTACTTGCGACATGTTCTCAATACACGAAATATCGACCTGCTGGCTCGTGCGTCAATCTTCTGCCCATACCACCTACTGGCGGACGTGGTGATCCACATTTCTCTACCTTGAATGGCAAGTCTTACACATTCAATGGACACGGTGAATACACATTGGTTAAAAGCTCCGACAACACATTTCATGTTCAAGTACGACTTGCTCGATTAACCAATGAAACAACAAGTTCGATGTCAGCATCATCATCCATGGACAGCGCAACAGCTATCGTAGCATTTGTTATTCACAATGATGATCAACCACGCGTCCAATTTGAATTACTTCCTGCATTGAAATCAATGGAAATTCATGTTAATGGAAAATTAATCGAATTTACACCACTAACCAGCGAAGAAGAACTTCAGTCGTCATCATTGATCTATGCCGATGATCGACAATTGGTTATTCGACAGCGTGACATCAATAGTTATAGTATTTCCTACGGCGAAAGTGAAATACAATTCATCGCTCATGTTCGACCACAATATGATTTTCTCGATTTGTCTTCGATCATTCCCAAGACATTCAAACAGAACAGCGTATTTCAAGGTATACTTGGTGGTTTCACTGGTTTAACATATTCGAATGGAACGAACGTATCAGCCAGTTTCAATGATGACAGAGCACTCTTCGACTATGGAGAATCATGGCGAACGACCAATGAGTCTTCACTCTTCTACTATCGTTTGCAAGACAGTCATGCTGAACATCAAGATTTAACCTATCGTCCGATGTTTCAAGAAGATTTGTTCGAGAAATATGCTAGTACCGAACGGTATCGGCTGGCCGCGGAAGCTTGTCGCAATCTGACTCATGAACAACAATGCATTTATGATATTTTAATTACCAATGATGTGACTATTGTTCAAATGCAAGAAAAATATGAAGCCGAGGTACATGTGTTGGATGACTATGTCGAATTAGTTACAACTGACATTGAGAATGATGCCAAAACAACAACTACAATGGAAAGTCCACTCACACAAAAACCATTGAATTCTGGTATGCGATTTTCCATCAATAGTATTTGGATGATCGTCTTTATGGCATTACTTGCATAACTTTTTTTTTCAAGTTTTAAATACGATGACTGTATCCTATCAATTGAATAAACGCGAAACGCCCTATATTTAGTTTTTCTTGTTCTTTTATTCTTACAGTATGTAATAATATCAGCTCTGTTAAATCTAGTTGTACTTATCGTGCTTAAGACAATATATCTGGATGTTGAGCATCCGTGTGCAACGTGTAGTTTATCAGTTATCGTATGTATCTCTCAGTGTAAAAAGCAGTTCGTGATGAATTAAAATGTACTTTTTCCAACTTTAGACATGGTTTGTGCTCAGAATACACTTTCTCCATAGTATCGAGCTGACATAAATTTTTGTCGAGTAAAGTGCAGAATAGCTTAATTGGTTTTTAAATTCTATCGTGCGTGTAGAATTAAAATACCGACGTGAAAAAGAAAGAAGAAGCACAGATTTTCATCCTTCGTACGCTTTACCATCGTATAAACCACATAGAACATCAGATTTTCCATTTCGACATGACCTAATCTTGTCAAGAATAGCGTGTAATTTCTGCACGTACGTGACAATTTTTATATTGTAACTACTAATTATTAAATTAGAACATTTTATATAATAGAAAACGATAATTAAGTTTGCAGCGGAATAATAACTCTAAAGCATAGTATATAAACGAAGGCAACTATACCATCTACCTCTTCGTGCAATATGTCCAATACGACATCAACAAAGTCGACTCCGGATCCCTGGAATGATATCAAATATATAATTTTGCAAACATGTCTTATTCCATCGATCATCTGTTCTCTTTATACATTGGTACGATTATTATTCGATCATAATCTTCGTACAGCAATTCATAATCACACATGTCTACTCTTGTTGTTTATATCAATTCTGGATGCATTCTTCAATCATCCTTTGACGTTAAATTATCTGCGTACGAATCATGTTACACCATCGACTGACGCCACATGTCTTGTGTGGAATTTTTTCAACTCCATGTTCGTAGTTTCAACTTATTGGACAATGGCCTGGGGTACTATTGAAAAACATATCCTCATTTTTGCACCAACATTACTCGCTACAAAACGAAAACGATTTCTACTTCATTATCTTCCTCTTTTTCTCACAACTTTCGTTTATCCAGTAATTGCAGCTATGATATTTATTCTATTTTATCCTTGTCAAAACAAGTTCGATATGTCATCCTTGTACTGTGCATTTCCATGTTCGTTGTCTATTCGATCGGTCGCATTGTACACACGATTTGCACACAATTTTATTCCAGCTTTTACTGTAGTGAGCGCAACAGCAATTCTAATTATGCGTGTGATTAAACATAAACGACATATACGAACGAATCGATTCACTTGGCGACGATATCGTCGGATGGTTAGTCAATCTTTAAGCTTATCAAGTCTTTTTCTTGTCTTGACTTTGCCAGCAACGACGGTTAGTATCGTGCAAAATTGTTGCCAGGCAACATTTGCGGCTGATTTACAAGTATCCGTTTTCAATTTTCTTCTTCGATTCCTTACCATATTCATGCCGTTTATTTGTCTCAGTTCACTGCCGGAAATTCGACCAAAGATACGATTATTTAACAAAACTCGCATTCGAGCGATTCTAACACAAAGACAACAAAATTAACGTGTATGTATTACGTCTAGTGTGACTGTATCGACACAAGAGCTGAAATTTTTTCTCTATATTCTATGTAAACAAAGTTTCGCTACATGCTGACGATGCGAGGAGAAAATCAAATCGTGAGAAACTACCAAAATTTATTTATGAAGCACGAACAAAGGCAAAAAAAGAGAGTAATCGAATGTCGAAGAAAAATTCTATGAAACAATTACATAAGAAGAAAATATAGTTGGTTCAGTTCTCGGACTTAATTTTCGTTTCGAAAACGTTCTTGTCCCTGTAACATCTGACGACCCCATTCAATAATTGTTTGCACGTCGGGCGTGAATTCAACAGTAGTACCTAGATCTAATCCATACGACTGCCATTGTTGCAAATTAAGTTGTGCACGAGTACCATTAACTTTACAAATGAAAGTGACTTCAATCGTTGATGGTATATAAATCTTGTTCGATGCTGTATACGGCACATAGAGATTGGCAGTATCGCAACCATCAAGGTTGTAAGGTATTGTACTGTTGGAGAGTAAGCACGTGTTTTGAATCCAAGTTTCATCCCAACCGCTAGACCCACGTTGAGCACCATAATTGTTCAGACAGTTATTGCTACCAAAACCACCATTACTACAATCCGAATAGACATAAATCTCATGATGATCTATCTTTGAATGACCTAAATAATTCTTCTTTCCACCATAAACTTGAAAATTATAACTGTCTTCGTAAAAGCAACTACCGTCATCGTGATCAATTGGCCACACTGAACGGTAGTTGTTGAAGAGAAGGTTGTGATGAATATAGCTTGTATGCTGCCAAACGGAAGGCACACCTGCTTCTGCACCATCTGATAAATACACTTGACGAGCCCACGTGTTGATTGGACCATGATCACTTGTTTCATGTACTCTCTCATGTAAGTGTTGCTTGTTTGTGTAAAGATCAGATCTTGGATGAGAACATTTCTGATCGGATCGTCGATGCTGCTGCCACTTAACGAGACAATACACGGCACTTGACTGGCAACGAACACGGTGGGCATGCTTTGATTGGGCATGAAGTAGAGAGTGCGAGTACTTTTGTCCAGAAACCATTCGTTTGCTGAATCGAGTTCTTCGAAGACATTCGACACATAGAATGCACCACCTGCGCTCGAGCCACGCGCTTCTTGAAAACCACCTCGACCGAACATGATGGTATTCTGTGAACTATTAGCCGATGCAATCTGAAAAATCCAACTACCCCAGTAGCCCGAGTGGAATGCATGAACGAAGCCAGTGGACGCGTTCGACCACTGAGGGAGATGAGGAAGAGCATTGGCCTTGACGACTAGGCCACGAGGAACAACATAATTGTCACCTTGTGGAGGCGATGCTGTACTCCAGAAGTTCGTCGGTGGATCAAACACTGATGCACCACCACCGACACCAAGTTGATAATGAGGAAACACCGTACCATTTCGGTAGGGATCTTCCACGTGAATTTCAACACTCGATCGGCGAACTGGTGCAATCCAACTTTGAGAATCATACGAAAACCCTGCATCTTTTGCATACAGCCCTTGAGTAGATGGATCACCGTTCGGATACTTGGCAACAATCGCTCGTCGATCATCCACATACAACTCATTGAACTCATCAACATTCACCCACGATGGAATCTGTGCTTTCATGATGCTTGCACCTGTCGATGTCTTCGAATGAACTGACCATTTGAGATCGAGTAGTGTGCCACCACTCAGAACAACGCGTTCATCTTCATAGTTTTCAATGACGATGTTACTGTCATTGCTCGTCAGTGCAATGACACCTCGTTGGCTGGAAGTTGTTGATGCAGAGGCGTTGGTACCGAGATAGTAAGTGCCAGCTCGGATGATGATGCAGAGTGTTGTTTGAGTGTTTTGACGATGAAGACGAGCTCGATGAAGCGCAGCTTGAATGGTTTTCATGGGTTGCTGAAAGGATCCATGAAATGCGTCGTTTCCTTGTGAATGGTGAACAAAGATGGAGTGATGACAGGATGTTTTGAGTTTGTTGGCGTTCGTTGATGCAGATGTTGGTAGTAGTAGTGGTGAATGAAAAGAGTGTGATGTGTTGTGACATTGATTGATTTGCAGAGCGCTTTGTGCGAGAGTTGTCCAGTTGGCTTTGAAAGATGTTGGTGCAATGTAGTTTACCATTTCAATGGTAAAATCACGAAGAGCACAATCATATTCCAATGGTACGTGAACATTGCGAACAGTGTTGTAGAAAGGAGACGATGGTTCTCTTATATGCTTTGGTCCGAAATGCGCATTCGAAGCACGGGGAAGAAGTGGGAATATTAGTAGTAAAAATGTAGTACACATGTGAGTAGTTCTTTTTTACCTATTCGTATATTGACGCAAATGGTTTCTCTTTATGTATACACACATCAACTCTTGTCCGATAGTTTCGTAACCTTAAGAAGATACGCATATAAATTTGATAACAAGTCACTTGATATGCTGATTGAAATGATATAAAGTTCGATGTACTTTTTTCTGGTTCTGAATATAGAGAATACGCGGAGACGTATACATTACTCACGAAGTAAATAATTGTTAAATAATCATCTGGGCATAAAGCTGATATACATAAAAGTTTCGTTTCATAGGCTGTAATAAAACAGAATTTAATTAACATCCAGATACTTTTTCATAATTTGCTCAAGGCTTAAAGGACAGCCGTCTGGAATCTGTAAAATTTCTGATAGTGAAGAAAAGATGACTAGAGAGTTATAATCTTAGAAAAGCAAAAGATGTCCTTAATGGATGATAAAATATCTATTCATTAAATTGATTTTAGCACGGTTAATTGATTAAATACATGTAATTTATTGTTTACGAAAGACTGTAAGAAAAACTGATTTCAATTATAAAATCCATCAGTAAAAGCGATTCTATCTTATGGATCTTGTCTTTCTCACAGAATATCTGAGTAATATTAATTGACGACCACATTCATTAACCGAAATCTCTTCCCGTGAACTTATACGTGATCCGGTCACTGAGTAGAATTCAAATTCTATTATTCAATCTATAACCAACAAGATACAAAAAGGAACATTATCTAATCTCATCATAATAGAGAGGACTAGAATAGTACGATGAATATATTGCACAAGCTAAATGAGGGTGAAACCAACATTTTTCCATTCTACACAAGAAAATAGAGCGACCGTCATTTTAAGTCTTGAAAGTATAATTTATCCTTCCTTGTTGCTCAGCACAAATAGATATAACGATACTTATTCTTATATTCATATTAATCCTGCATGTCAAGAGGCTCGCACACGGCGGTAAGATATGAAGCAACCATCACAACAAGCAGTACAAAAGAGAAATCGAATATTTACACGGCAATGTCGAATTTGTGATGCTCCAGCTCAATATTCTTATTTCGGTACTGTCTCGTGTTATTCATGTAAAATGTTCTTTCGAAGACGTGCACTTTCAACAAAAGTTCGTCTTGAATGCTGAGTATTTCAAGAACAATTTCTTCTGATTCGTTTAGAAAGATTTGAAATGCACTTGCAATGGTCAATATCCGTCAAATATTCGCATATGTACATCATGCCGACTGACCAAATGCTTTCAACTCGGAATGTCAACCGATCGATTTCGTTCATCAAGACAAAATACTCTAATTAAATTACCAAGACAAGTAAAATGTTCAAGAAATATCTTGAATTTCTTGCATGTTCCGTTTTTTCTAGCCAACCGTATGGAATTTTTCGCAAGCGGATCAATTATTATTAACAAATAATCAATGGGCTCTTCTTTCGAATTTACATCATTCCTACAACGAATCTCACTTGTTAACTATTGGTCAATCTCTCCATGATCTACATTATCATTCGCATTTGCCTTATACAACCTACGAAACATTGGTGAATCAGTTCTTAGAATCAATCTATGATACAACAAGGGACTACCTACATATGAATCATGATTTAAGTGAACTACCATTTCATGAGCGTTCGATTGTGTTACGGGCCGCTGTTGCTAATGTTACATGCATGACAAGTGTCTTCAGTATTGGGTATTGTCGTTTGTATAATCTCGACAATTTCCTATACTTCATGAAAATGAAATATGGAAAATATGCGGTCGATATTTCCTGTTGGGCAGTGAAATATATTGATCAAGATCTGACCGTGAATAAAATGACTATGGCATTATTTGCTGTTTCGGAAGATTCGTATTCAACTAAAATGTCGACGAACTTTCCTATTTCGTCGATGATAATTCATATTCAACATCGATACGTGGAAGTAATATGGAAATATCTGATTTTGAAATACAATTATTCGGGAGCAGTCAAACGATTTCTCAATTTAACATCGTGGATTCTAGCTATGAAAATCTTAACAAGTCACGCTGAAACTCTGCTAACACATGTCAATCATATCGATTCACTTGTCGAACAAATTGAACTGAAATTTGTATTAGATGATATCGAACATATTCTGGAGACAAACTCGTGATCATTCGATTTCTCATTAGTTAAATAAAAGAATAGATATTTTCAATAAAATCTTAGGATACAATCGTTCGTACCATTTTCACACCTTGATATATCAGCCCGTTTTTTGCTCGTTGTTCATAGCCTATCTTTGTGAAACCACATTTTAGTAAAATTTTCTCGCTTGCAATGTTATCAGCAAGATATCCTGCTTCGATTCGAGTGTTCTTATCTGCGTGAATTTCGTTGAGAAACGTTTTTACTGCTGCAGTCGCAATGCCATTGCACCAATAGGGACGAGCGAGATAATATCCAAGCTCGTAAGTACCAGCAGCTGTCTTAGGCACTAAACTGACTTCACCAATCATTCGATTTTGATCACGAATAGCGAATGTCGAAGCTTGTCCATTGACCAACGGACGAGAAGAAATATATGCTCTAATTTGTTCGATTGTTATGGGATATGGTGGACCAATTAAATATTTTATTGTTTCTTCGTCATTCAGATGTACGAACATTTCCGAAGCATCATCTAGGACTAATGGGGATAATGATAACGACGGAAATTTAGTATGTGATACTTTAATAGATAGAGTCATCTAAAACATTAACTAGTCAACAAATGATTTCATATGTTCTATAGAGTTGATATCGCATCAGTGGTAAAAAGATGTTGCACACGTGTGAGATAAGTCTGGACTACAGAACAGGTGAAAAACAAATATTCTAGCCAATGATCATTGGTTTGTGTTAGGCACTCCTTTTATTTTATCGAAATGTCTTAACAGAAAAGAAGACTTCGTTCTATACATGTCACTCAATTGAATACGAACAAATTACGAAAGACGTTTGAGTAATTCAGGTAAAACAATCGCAGCTCGTTCGCGAAGACGATATCGTACAACATCAGACACTTCTGTTTCACCGGGATTAATTTCAATTGTAACTGCATTGTTTCGAGCGGCGTCCACTACTGGTTTGGCGATATATGGAAAGACACTTGTCGTGCCTATGCTAATAACAGCGTCTAAACCTTTGCTCATAAACTCATGAAGTTGCGTGATTGCTCGTATGGGCAGCATTTCACCGAAGAGGACAACACGTGGTCGCACGAGTGAACCACAACGTTGACACTTGGGTGGGATTTTCATGCCTTCGAAACTGTTTACATAGATATCATGGCCGCATGATGTGCAAAATAATTGTTGAATGTTGCCGTGAATTTCAATGAGATTCTTTGAACCGGCAACTCGATGTAAACCATCGATATTCTGTGTCAGTACAGCAAAATGTGGAAATTTAGACTCGAAAGCAACAAGTGTTTCATGCGCAGCATTCGGCTTCGCCGCACGACAAGCTAATTCAATTTGATGAATGTATTTCCAACAAATGTCTGGTCTACGTCGCATTGTTGGGCCAGATAATGCATCTTCTATGGCCATACCATCGTCGGTTTCTTTTCCATCGCTGTACAATCCACCGATGCCACGGTACGTCGGCAATCCAGAATCGGCCGAAATGCCTGCACCCGTAATAGCTAAAACATGCTTTGCATGACGGAGTTCATCGGCAATTTTATCCTAAAATACAAATCTATCAGATAAACGATTGTGCTCAGAAAGATTCAAAGTGGTCTTACTAGAATTGATCTATCATTGGAAGAGGAAGAAGATGTTTGTAATGGTGCAGAGGTTGAGAAGAAACTGCTAATAGAACTTGGGGTTCTACAGAGTTTACAATGCGCGAACAAATGAGCTTTGTTTGCAAGAAGATGAAGGAAACTCTTCTTCATTAGTTCATAATAGTCTGATTAAATATTCTGCAAAACAATTCTATTCAAAAGAAACTCTTTTAACCTATTTTTACGTTCCGCTGAGAAGCAAAAAGTACGAAAAGACACAGATGATTTTCTATTCGATGCCGTAAACGAATAATCAACATCTCGAATACGCACTATGATGCTAACATACGACATCTGCCGGAAACCATTTATATTCTTTTTAATGCCGGTCATTGAGAAGACATACATAGCTCGCTAAATCTAACATGTCCAATACTTTGTTAAAAAAACGTGATTCAAGACAACGATCATACAACTTATTGATTTATTCATCATATTTAAAAATCTTTTAAATTATCGATTTCATACTCGAACTTCGTACATAATTGAACACAAAGGAAAATGTAAAAATACATCAATTAAAAAATGAATACAGTTCATTTACGAATCAGTCGCTCTACCATCCGTTCCTCAGAAGCTTCCATTCACCTAAATTCGTTCTGCCGTTATCATACTCCTGGTTGTTTCGCCAACGGCCTGTAAAGAAGTTTGTATTTGGAAACTGAAACGTTTTAAATCTGTTCCAGTTGCCATTCCGAAAAGAACCGAACTTTGCATCACCATTGCCAAAAGCGCTTACGACATTCCCAGTTCTTTCACCATTTACGAATGTTCCTTCATACCGATCACCACTTGGCCATGTCTGCACACCTTTTCCGTGGAATTGACCATTCTTAAACTCACCAACATATTTTTCTCCACTAGAGAAAGTATAAGTGCCACTTCCAGTTCTTTCACCATTGAGAAAAGTACCTTCATACCGATCACCGTTCGTCCATGTCATAATACCTTGTCCATCGAATCGACCATTATTATTGTATGGGCCGACGTACTCTGCTCCATTAGGGAAATAGTAGACGCCGTTTTTTGTTTTTTCACCATTTATAAATACACCTTCATACCGATCACCATTTGGCCATGTCTGTACGCCTCTACCGTTAATTTGATCGTTCTTAAACTCACCAACATATTTTTCTCCACTAGAGAGAGTAGAAGTGCCACTTCCAGTTCGTTCACCATAGAGAAAAGAACCTTCATACCGATCACCGTTCGTCCATGTCATAATACCTTGTCCCTCCAATCGGCCATTTTTGTATTCACCCACATATTTTCTACCATCGGGAAGATAGTACACACCATCTTTAGTTTTCTCATCATTCTTGAATATTCCTTCGAAACGATTACCATCTGGCCATGTCTGCACACCTTTTCCATGAAATAGACCATTATTGAACTCGCCAACATATTTTCCTCCGTCAGCGAAAGTGTAAGTACCATTTCCCGTTATTTCACCATCAACAAAGCTTCCTTCATATCGCCCACCACTTGGCCATGTCTGTACACCTTGTCCATCGAATCGGCCATTTTTGTATTCACCCATATATTTTATACCATAGGGAAGATAGTACACACCATCTTTAGTTTTCTCACCATTCCGGAATATTCCTTCGAAGCGATCACCATTTGGCCATGTCTGCACACCTTTTCCATGAAATTGACCATTATTGAACTCGCCAACATACTTTCTTCCGTCAGCGAAAGTGTAAGTACCATTTCCCATTCTTTCACCATTGACAAAAGTACCATTGTACCAATCACCTGTGTTCCATATCATGATACCTTGCCCATTGAACAGATCACCTTTGAATGTGCCAACGTATGTCATACCATCAAGAAAAAAATAAACACCATCTTCAGTCTTCTCACCACCTTTAAATATTCCTTCATATCGATCGCCGTTGGGCCATGACTGCACACCGTTTCCATTGAATTTCCCTTCTTTAAACTTACCGACGTACTTTCGTCCATTAGCAAAGGTATAAATGGCACTTCCAGCTCTTTGACCGTTGACAAAAGTACCTTCATATCGATCACCATTTTTCCACGTCATTACACCTTCTCCATTGAACAGATCACCTTTGAATGTGCCGACGTATTTCGTACCATCGGGAAAATAGTAGACACCATCTTTAGTTTTTTCACCTTTTTTAAATATTCCTTCGTATCGTTCACCACTTGTCCACAGCATTGTACCTTTTCCGTGGAAATATCCATCTTTGAACTGTCCAACGTATTTCGTACCATTATCCAAAATCAATGTACCATTTCCATTCTTTTCGTTATTTCTGAAATAACCTTCATAATGATCGCCATTTGGATAATCCACGCCTAGCACAGAATGAATTAGAATTTTTATAAGCTTCAAAGTGCATGACTTTGGTTTTTGTTTCCGTTTAAAACCATAGGGAGCTAGTGTCAACTAAACTATCTGAAGTGAATTTGTCTCTTGCAAGTTCTTCGAGGTGAATGTTTTTTCAAACGTCTCTTTTTCCACTTACGTCGAAATTTGGAGTGTTCATTGTCTTCGCTACCGTCTCCTTTATGTTTAAGAATTTTCTTGAATTTCATACAATTGACATGTCCAAATAGGATAAATATAACACAACTGCAGATGACCTAGAAATCTTTGCATCAGTAAACACAAGTATGCGTAAGAAGTTCTTTGTATTCTTACCAGATATTTATGTATTTGCATGACCGTTCGAAATCGAGGAGTTGATAGGAGATAGGAATGTAGTTGTCACACGCCAGTTTGTCTATTTATATGTGTATATGTCGATAATGATAAAGACGAAAGGAAGAAAAGATCAGTCAGCTTCACTTGATAGAAGTGAACGAAGTACAGTTCTTTATGTCGAATATGATCCAATCGAATGATCTCTATGAAATGTATGTATGTATGACTAATAAAAGATCGTCCATTTTAATTGTTCGGTAACATGTGAGATATTCACATGGGTGCTAAGTAGGATATAGGTCACCTTCTTATCAAGATAAAATAACCGAAGGAACACGTCATATGACATTGATGTATATGATTTACAGAAAACATAACAAATTGATATCGGGCACTATTGAATCATCGATTGTCTAGGATAGAAGTGAATGTTCAAGGTGATAAAAATAAACAAGGTGAAGAGCGCATATTCTAACGGTATCGAAACTGCTGCAATGCGTTTTAGTTTCAGTGAACTTCAAACTTTTGATCGAATGAAATAATTATCAAACGAGAGAAGTTGGCTTTTGAAATGAATTCAGGCAAGCATTGAATGCTTGATAAAAGATAGTGGGAAATCGCATGTTTCACAAACTGTTTGATAGTCATCGCTGAAATAAACAAAAGAATATGTGCAGAACGGACAGCCATTTTCTCCTTCGAACTTGGCTTTAATTTTCATTTGAATCTCGTATTTCCTAAAATGCATTGGCCAATTCATTGATACAAGATCATGTACTTCTCATGTCTATCACCTTGAATAAGTCAATCGAAGTACAAGAACTATCCAATAGTATAATTATTTTATTTTATAAAGACAGTTTTTCTAAGAATTATTTGTTTAGTCGTATACGAACAAAAAGAATGCAAGAAAAAAAGCTTGCTCAGAAAATGACTATTTCACGCAACAATTTTATTGTTTTTCCAAATAGTTGATTTGACTTTGCCGTCGGCGTAGACCATTTTTCCATATCCATCCTTCTTTCCCTTCTTCATAGTGCCGACGAACGAGTTACCATTTGCATATTTGTATAAACCATATCCGTCGAATTTGCCATCGACAAAAAAGCCAATGTACATATCACCACCTTGGAAATAGTAGATCCCAGATCCAGTTCTCTCGCCATTTTTGAAATCACCGTCGTACATATCCCCATTTTTCCAAATAAGCTTGCCATCTCCATCGAATTTATTGTTTTTAAACTGACCAACATACTTTCTGCCATCAGCATAGATAAAAGTACCTCTTCCGGATAATTTTCCATCTTTGATCTCACCTTCGTAATGGTCACCATTATCATAATTAATGTCTAAACAAAGATCATACAAACTGTCGTTAGGTTCTCAATCAGTATATATGCAGATGAAATTCCGCTTACGTTTGATGTTGGACTTCTGTTTGTCTCCTTTGTCGCTCGTCGTCAATTTTCTGTCATCTTTATCTTCGGTAGATTTTCTGAATAGTTTGCATTCTGTCCTGTGAATCACAACAAACACAACACAACAGATGATCTAGAAATATTTGCATCAATAAACACAAGTATGCGTAAGAAGTTCTTTGTATTCTTACCAGATATTTATGTATTTGCATGACCATTCGAAATCGAGGAGTTGATAGGAGATAGGAATGTAGTTGTCACACGCCAGTTTGTCTATTTATATGTGTATATGTCGATAATGATAAAGACGAAAGGAAAAAAAGATCAGTCAGCTTCACTTGATAGAAGTGAACGAAATACAGTTCTTTATGTCGAATCTGATCCAATCGAATGATCTCTATGAAATGTATGTATGTATGACTAATAGGAGATTATGCTTTTCTATATAGTCGATAGAGAAAAAGAACGATTTTGGTTTTGTTCTCATGTCAAATCCGTGATGAATACGGAAATTAATATCTAACAGAAGTATTATTTTCATCATTGTTGACCGATCGCCAATGTTAAAATTGACTTCAAAACGCAACATATTCATGAATGCTGCAGGCTTCAAATTCAGTCAGATCGTTTATCGCTTGATCTGAAATAGCCTTCGAAATTCTGTTCGATCAGCGTCCTCTCCATTGTTCGTAGTCATCATTTTGCATGTTTTTAAACGTAACTGCCTTCTCATTACTTTCTGTTATTGCACTATACTGCGTAGTTAACTGGATGAAAGTGAATAGTCACCTATCTTGCTTTGTAACACATTGTATCGCTATTCTGGTCTTTATTAACTATTCACAGAGAAAAAGTTAGACACAGAATGCATCTGTAATTGATATGTAAAAAGACATGCGTCCTTTTATCCTTCTCTGACTCCATCAATATTCATCATCACTTGTTTATACAAAGCTAAAGAGAATGAGTTTTGATATTTGAATGTAAACCTGTATTAAAAATGTACTTGCTACAGATATCAACATTAAACAGCTGTTTTTCAAAACTATCATTATCATCATCGTCTTTTCCAGCTGTACAAGATTTATAGCGGTCTTCAATACTACGTAGTCCATTTACCTGGACAAAAATGCCGTCCGAGTCTTTATTTTCTATATCGATCTAATATATTTTCCGTGCTTATTTCAATTGGAATACCATGAGATCTAGCTGCTCAATTCGGTCTTACTTTGATGATCTCGCCCTGCAGATACGGATATTATTCTTCTACGTTCTGTATTTATCACAGTCACATATAACATATGTAAACTGAAAACAAATAAAAAACGACAGATAATAAAACTATGAAACGAAACAATTGCACTGTAATGTGATATTTTAAATGCTATAGCATGTTTTTTTTAACAGACCGTCTACATAGTTGAGATTTTTTTATAGTGGTATCAAATAAGTTCGGTATGCTCGTCTTGTGTGATTTATCCTTCTGGTGATTCTTTAGATCATTTTTACAAGATTAACAAACATCTAACAATGATTGTAAGTAAAAAAGCATCCTATGAAATTCAGTTCATCTGGAATGATCATATATACACTTATATTACATCTTCGTTCTCATTGTAGCAATTAGAACTACCAGACAAAGTTCAAGCGGTATCTAGACCCGTAGGTAAAGGGCTAATCGAGGTGGAAGAAGTCGATATAACGAAGATAAAGGTGGCAAACTAGAGCTATGGAGAATTCTTCGTCTCATCAAGTTTTATCTTATAGATCGACGTAATCATAGGAAACTTTGCGGTAGACCCCATCAAAGAAATTTTTCTGAATCTAGCAGGTTGTGAAGTTCATACAGAATTCAATATTCAATTATACACGAAACCATCATCGTCAATCATTATAACACCAGCAGGTGAATTATTAAGTAAAGCCCTTTTTTTTCTAAAATGGTCACCAGTTAATGACGAAACAACACTTGAAAAGTCAACTGCTGATTTTATATGGATGGTATTTCAAAATGTGATCCCATATAATTTTACTTCAATTGCATTTCCAACTATTGGCTATGAGCATTTTCCCGTTCCGATTAATATTCTCATTAGAACACTAGTAAGAGAAATGGTAAATCAGCTCATGAAAACAGACTTACCACTGACAGTTAAATTCATCACTCAACCCAATCAAGCAAATATCTATGATGAGTTCTGCAAACAGATATTAACATTACAGCAGAGTATTGTAACAACTTTTAATCCTCAATTACCTTCAACATGGGATAAATCAACACAAAATCAAAAACTTTTTATTGTACCTTCCACATCCGACGAATATAAATCTATACTGACTAGTTTCGATCACACTATGAAAGGACAGTATACGTCTATTATACGTATTCAACGGATTCAAAATGAACGATGGTATATGCAATATCTCGCTCATGGTCGAGACTTTCTGTTACGTCTGAAGGAGGACACAGAGAAGCGATTGTATCATGGCTGTCCAGAACAAGCAGCTCATTCGATTATTGAAGGTTGTTTCAATAGAAGTTATGCTGGTATCAATGGTAAGATAACTCGCCCATAGGAAGAATGGATTTTCATATGCACATTCTGTCGTCTTGCATAGGTATTGCACTAGGAGCTGGTGTTTATTTTTCATCGAACGCCAATTATAGTCATGGATATACGAGACCGAATGCAAATGGTGAACGATGCATGTTTCTCGCTCGTGTTCTCGTTGGAAGAACAACAGCTGGTAACCCGTCCATGAAAACACCACCACTCGGATTCGATTCGACATCTGCAGGCCATGCTTTTGTTACTTATCATGATGCACAAGCATATGCTGAATATCTCATTACATACAAATAGATGAAGAAGCATCGAATGTCCATACAATCCCTTTCCAACTCTCGATTCTACTATTATGTTTATAACAATTTAAGACAAGAATGAAATTTGGGATATTTCAAACAATTAGTCTTGTATTACTCTGTTTTCTATTCTTTATTTTTATAGAATCAGACTTAGAAAACACATTAAGGAAGAGTTAACAAAAAATGAGTTAACTCACTAGAATTCTCATCCTTTTAGGCACTGTCTTGAATAGTACCGTTACCGAAAATCATTCTACCATGATTATCTTTCTTAGCATTTGTCCAGCTGCCCATAAATAAATCACCATTTGCATACTTAACCATTCCAAATCCGTTTAAACTACCCTTCAGGAAATAACTAAAGTACTTATTACCATTATTGTAACTATAAACGCCGTGTCCGGTTCTTTCGCCGTCGACAAAACTACCTTCGTATAGGTCACCGTTTTTCCAAGATTCTTTGCCTTTTCCGTGGGCAAATCCATCTTTGAATTCANCATTTGTCCAGCTGCCCATAAATAAATCACCATTTGCATACTTAACCATTCCAAATCCGTTTAAACTACCCTTCAGGAAATAACTAAAGTACTTATTACCATTATTGTAACTATAAACGCCGTGTCCGGTTCTTTCGCCGTCGACAAAACTACCTTCGTATAGGTCACCGTTTTTCCAAGATTCTTTGCCTTTTCCGTGGGCAAATCCATCTTTGAATTCACCAACGTACTTTCGTCCATTAGCAGAAGTGTAAGTACCATTTCCAGTTCCTTTTCTGTCTAGAAAATCGCCTTCGTATTGGTCACCGTTTTTCCAAGATTCTTTGCCTTTTCCGTGGGCAAATCCATCTTTGAATTCACCAACGTACTTTGGTCCATTAGCAGAAGTGTAAGTACCATTTCCAGTTCGTTTTCCGTCTAGAAAATCACCTTCGTATAGGTCACCATTTTTCCATGTCATGACACCTTGCCCATCGAACTTCCCATCTTTGAACTGACCGACGTACTTTCTACCATCAGAATAAATAAAAGTATCGTTTCCCACTTTTTGCCCATTTTCGACGTGATCTTCATAAGCGTTCTCATTACGATCTAAACGAGAGTCAAATGAATTGAATGTATATGTGATTCACTCGTTCTCCTAGTGCCTAGTCGTAACCAGTAATAGATAACGTCTTGATAACGAGCTCCCTAATTTCTCTGTTATGCTTCGAGGAGGGTCTTACAATGGATATAAATACACTTTTTTGCTTACTATCGAAAGTTGGTATTTGATCGTCTTCTCCGTTTTTTTCACTTTCCACTTTTTTTGTGTCGTCGTCTTCTTTATTTTCCACTGTATTGGCAACAGTTATTTCTTGGAGTTCGAATATATCTTGGCCGTAGTGTTCTTCCAATTTATCTATTGATTTGCATTTGGTTCTTTGAAGCACAGTAAGTACAATGCAACAGATGATCTAAACATTTTTCATCAATAAACACGCAATCATGCACAATAAGTTTTTCTCTACTAACCAGATGCTTATATAGCTGCATGATTGTTCTAAATTGAAGTAATAAAAGCAACGTGAATAGGCTTATTACGCATAAAATCGCTTATTTATATACACACCGGTGGGAGAATCCCACATGGAATGGGATAATGCCAGAGGACGATAATCTTTATCTCTTTGGCATTTCATGTATCAAATCTTCCTTCCACTATCCTCAATTTGCCGCAAAATATAAACAAAACTAATATAGATGTCTCTGAGAAACATTTGATGAAAGCGATGGTAATTTCGTTGGATGATTTGTAACCCATCCCTGGTAGTATATTCAATGAGAGGACGTCTGTAAAAACAAGTAGCTCTGTATCAGTTATCGACGAAGACACAACTGACAGAACTTGTGATTTACTAAAGAAAGATATCAAAGTCATAAAGAGGCTGTTATCATTTATATTGAGTNACAAAACTAATATAGATGTCTCTGAGAAACATTTGATGAAAGCGATGGTAATTTCGTTGGATGATTTGTAACCCATCCCTGGTAGTATATTCAATGAGAGGACGTCTGTAAAAACAAGTAGCTCTGTATCAGTTATCGACGAAGACACAACTGACAGAACTTGTGATTTACTAAAGAAAGATATCAAAGTCATAAAGAGGCTGTTATCATTTATATTGAGTTCATTTGCCTTTTCCTGCGCAAAACACAAAATCCACACGAAAATGAACGAGCAGTCAAGTAATGAGTACGGTTCCGTTTTGTCTGTTGAATGATACTAGACATCGTGTTATTTGACTATTTTCACCTGATCGGTCATTTTTCGTAACGGTGAGCTCTACGAATATTTTTATATAAATTTCAGCAGTCGATATTTTATATCATTCGTTATTTGAGTGGGCTTGTGCTTTTTTATCTTTACATTTTCAATCCATCTGATTCTCGTTCTTATCTTTTTCTTTAGTCGATGTGTTTATCGAACAGCGAAGAGTAGCAATCATTTTTCTTGGTATATTCATGTCAAATCCATTGAAATTTAAACAATCCATCGCCTATTGGTGTCTCGCTGAAACCGAATGGAAATGGAATGTTGAACAAATTTGTCAATTGGCCGTTAGCCTAGACATGAAAAGTATCGAACTTGCACCAACAGAAACGTATTCAATCATTAAGAAATATCAGTTAACATGTGCACTTTGTTGTAATGGGATGCCTGGAGCACCGTTCATGAAAGGATTGAACAATTTAAAAAATCATGAGGAAATTCTTACTCGAACCAAAAAATCTATTGATACTGCATCTGAATATGGTTTTCCAAATGTGATTGCCTTTGTTGGATACAAATGGTTCAATCCGGAGGATCCTTCCAGTGGTGAAATTTCGATAAATGAATGTGTTGAAAATTGCATCAAAGGTCTTCGTGAATTGTCTATGTACGCAGCTGACAAAAGTGTAACAATTTGTCTCGAACATCTCAATACACGTGACCGATCGCATCCAATGAAAGGTCATCCTGGTTATCAGGGAGATGACATTGATTTATGTGCTAATATTGTTCGTCGAGTCAACTCTCCGAATGTTCGTCTTTTGTTTGATATCTACCATGTACATATTATGCATGGCGATGTTAATAAACATTTACGAGATCATCACGATATTATCGGTCATATTCATACTGCAGGTTATCCCGGTAGAAATGAACTGGATGGTAAACAGGATATTTACTACTCGGATATTGTAACAACTATTCGAAAGATTGGATATAATGGTTATGTTGGCCATGAATTCATTCCAACTCGTGAACCTCACGATGGATTCTTTGCAGCAAAGAAAATATTCGATGTTTAACTCGATCAAGGCATTAATCGTGATCTTTCCCTCACATTTGCTCTTTCGTTCGTTGTTTGATTAACAAAATAAAACAATCGAGTCAAATTTGCTTTTCTTTCTCTGTTACTTTGACAAGTGCAAATGAAAGCATAGTCACTATCGACTATATTTATACCAGTGGAAACGTTTTGCTTGTCTTTGTATGAAATAAACTGAATTGAATTGTTAATATTTAACATGATAGAGCAAATCAGGCGCGAGAATCAAAATGCATGAAGATCGTCTGCTAGCGATTGTGACCTATTGGAAAAGTGAAGTGTATAATTTGTCAAATGAAATTCGGCGCTTGAAAAAAGATTTTCAACAGCAAATCGAACAGTGTCACAACGAAAATATTTTATTGAAACAAGCTTTAATCTCTAGAAAATCAAAAGATTTTCCATCCTTGATTGAAAATCTTCACATGAACGCAACGAAAATCGAAAAGTCCATTGAAGAAATGAACCAAAATTGTAAAAGGCAGTTGAATAATCGTTAAATTCTCTTATGTTCACCTGGACTATGTCCACAATCGCAAAGATTTGAACCACGTTTATGTTTTATGTATATCGGACATCGACAGATGAGACAAAAACTAATGTGAGGTTCGATACGACGTTGTGATCGATAACAACATGAACTACATGCACAGCCCATGATTGAAAATGAAAATTTCTTTGTTTTATTTCAAATACAATAACGACGTTCGTTTTCTTTTCTTCTTGTCAACGAGTTTATTTTTGCTCGTTCTTCAATATTTATTTTGAAACAAAAAATATCATTCTTTTCATTTCTCACGTTAATGCGCATAATCTATCATCGATAAGCGTATGCAGAGAGATAAGCCAGTGCGCGAGCCATTCATGTGAAACACGTCTGCATAAATACTCCTCAAGTTTTTGTCAACGCTGTATACGATGGAGTTCGATGAAGAGTCACATGTTGATAACGAGGAAGATAATATTGATCAGCAGAGAAAACGTTCATCAATACCTGATGTAACCCGACGAACGCCCTCGATAATAACTCGAATTACACCAGCAAATCCTGTTGCAACTCGTAACGAACATCTTCTTGTAACGGACATAACTCCATGTCGAAATTTCTCTCTGTTCTTCGGTCTCACACTTCGATCTATAGGAGTTATATTTGGTGATATCGGTACGTCTCCCTTGTACGTTGTCAATACAATTTTCGATTATGAACCAGATCCGTCTCAATGTATTGGTGCAATAAGTTTAATCATTTGGAATTTAATTATAGTTGTATCGATAAAATATGCAATTCTAATCTTAATGGCTGATAATCATGGTGAAGGTGGAACATTCGCTTTGTGCGGGTTGTTAACTGACGAAAGAATCAAGCTAAGCCGAAGAGTCAAACTTACGATTCTGATTGTGTCATTAGTAGCTGCTGCGATGTTACTCGGTGATGGAGCGTTGACACCAGCTGTATCTGTTTTATCGGCAATTGAAGGTTTACTTATTGATGTACCTAGCATAGAAAGCTGGATTGTTCCGATTGGTGTCATTATTATCGTGTTACTTTTTCTCGCGCAACGATGGGGAACATCGAGAATCGGAACTGCTTTTGGTCCGATCATGTTTCTCTGGTTTCTGTGTTTGTTTATTATTGGTATCTGGAGGACTACGATGAGACCTGAAATTTTGAAAGCATTTAATCCATGGGAAGCGTTCCATTATTTATTGAAAGAGAAAAAACGTGGATTTTATCAAATCGGCGGCGTATTCCTATCCGCAACTGGCCTTGAAGCACTGTACGCTGACTTAGGCCATTTCGGACGATGGCCAGTTCGTTGTGCTTGGTTTTTCGTTGTATTCCCAGCTGTTCTTTTCAACTATTTAGGACAAGGTGCATTGTTAATCTCGAATCCATCTTTAATTGATAATCCATTCTACCATTCCATACCTGAATGGTCCCATTGGCCAATGATTGTCTTAGCAACACTAGCAACGATAATCGCGTCCCAGGCAGTCATCACTGGAAGTTTTTCGTTAATAAGTCAAGCGATTGGTATGGAATGCTGTGTACCATTTAAAATCTATCATACATCGAAGACGATTATCGGACAAATCTACATTCCGATGATTAACTACATTTTAATGATTCTGACAATAATTATTATCGTTGGCTTTCAAAAAAGTTCTAGAATAACTAATGCTTACGGTGTAACGGTTTGTAGTGTTATGGTCATCACAACAATTTTATACATGTGCGTTTTGTACTTTACGTGGCATAAACCATGGTACGTAGTTCTTCCGTTTGGTTTATTCATCATTATTGATATGTATACATTGGCATCCAATGTAATCAAGATTCCAAATGGTGGTTGGGTTGCAATTGTTATTTCGTTTGGTTTTTTCATTTTTGGGTTCTGTTGGTTTTTCGGTCAGAGGAATTTACGACGATATCTCAAAGTTCACGCTCGAACAACAAGCCTTCATACCTTAGCATTGAGACTTGGAATATTACGCTCAAACTCACGACATAACTCACACAGTTCTCTTCCAGATCTGCCGACTATAGGTACAGCACATCGAATATCTTTCGTAGATCATGATTCCAATTCTGAATCTGATAACGATGAATGGGATTCATATAAAAGACCCATACATCATGTACATAGTAGCGTACGTTTGATCGAAAATATTCCGATTGGTTCATTATCGAATATGCCGTCTGTTATGAACGAAGAGAACACCATATCCGCTGTCATCACACCAACTGTCGGCTGTTTTCTAACACGTTCCTCTAAACATACACCGCATGTATTTGAAAACTTTCTCAATCGTACGTGCTCCGTTCCTCAAGTTACTATTTTTCTTCGTATTCGACATACAAAAACATCAACCGTCGATGTTAATCAACGCTTAATCGTGAAACAATATGGAGAAAATATCTTTCACATTACTGCATTATACGGTTATTCAGAAAATCGAATACAGCCATTTCAAGTTTTATTACTCGCACACAATCAGTACAATGTACCTGTGCCTACCAATGAGTCTAAGGTAACTATATACACACCGAATGAAACAATCAAAGTGAGAACAACGGGATGGCAAAAATGGATTCGTCGCTGGCCATTGTATCTCTATGCTATATTAAAGAGATTCTATCCAGGTTCAGCTGTGAACATCAAATTAGAATCGGAAAATACAATCAGTATTGGCATCTTAGCTGAATTGAAATAGTAATCGTCTTAACCTTTTTGAAAATTCTTTGTTCTAATCGCTTGAAATAACCAGAGAAAACATTCGGAACTAACCACAATATAAATTCCAATACCGAGGAAAACAATCGGAACGAGATATCGTGCACATTTTTGTGCGAGACTTAAAATTGGTGGAGAATTAATAAAATAGTATGAAATCATAAGCCAAACGAATACCATGACGAGAAAGATGATGATATAAACAATAATTTGCCATTGATATGCTTGAGCAAAGAGTGGAGTATAGATAGAAATATTATCCGCACTGTTAGCAAGAGTTATACTTGTTACTTTTAATGTTTCCAAAGAAAACAGATGATTAAGAATGGAAAAAATTCGATTCGAATTTGTTGCTGGCTTTTGTTCGTCAGTTTGTTTTTTGATTTCGAATCGGATTGACCCGTCGACGTCATTTCGACAGCGAATCATTTCAAGCTGAATGGTTGATACGGGTGAATCCGTTGGAATAATATCATCAATAGTTCCATGTTTTCTCTTTTTGTAGAATTCAATGATTAAATCCAGTATATTCTTCAATCCGATAAAGATCGGTAAAAATCCAAGAAAGCCAAGCATTTCAATGGGTAAGACAAATGAAATGAGATAGCCAGTCAGACTTATGATTAATAGGATAAAAAATCCGAAATATTGACCGATGAAAACGTGATGAACTTTCATTGAAGAATTGCCTAATGATATTTCAGTAAAGAAATTCATTAGAATAATCAGATCGTCTGCGTTCGTTGCGACGTATGAGATCAATGCAGTTAAGACTAGTTTTCCAACGTTTTTCTCGTGGACACTCATCATCTATACTTGTTGATGAAACTGTTCTTTCGATTTCTGTACTCTTACAAAGTCAACATAATACTCGACATTTCATGTTGCTTTTATTCGCGAAAAAGGTTAAACTCGATTACATCNAACAAAACTAATATAGATGTCTCTGAGAAACATTTGATGAAAGCGATGGTAATTTCGTTGGATGATTTGTAACCCATCCCTGGTAGTATATTCAATGAGAGGACGTCTGTAAAAACAAGTAGTTCTGTATCAGTTATCGACGAAGACACAACTGACAGAACTTGTGATTTACTAAAGAAAGATATCAAAGTCATAAAGAGGCTGTTATCATTTATATTGAGCTAATTTGCCTTTTCCTGCGTAAAACACAAAATGCACACGAAAATGAACGAGCAGTCAAGTAATGAGTACGGCTCGGTTTTGTCTGTTGAATGATACTAGACATCGTGTTATTTAACTATTTTCGCCCAGTCGGTCATTTTTCGTAACGGTGAGCTCTACGAATATTTTTATATAAATTTCAGCAGTCGATATTTTATATCATTCGTTATTTGAGTGGGGTTACGCTTTTTTATCTTTACATTTTCAATCCATCTGATTCTCGTTCTTATCTTTTTCTTTAGTCGATGTGTTTATCGAACAGCGAAGAGTAGCAATCATTTTTCTTGGTATATTCATGTCACATCCATTGAAATTTAAACAATCAATCGCCTATTGGTGTCTCGCTGAAACCGAATGGAAATGGAATATTGAACAAATTTGTCAATTGGCCGTTAGCCTAGGCATGAAAAGTATCGAACTTGCACCAACAGAAGCTTATTCAATCATTAAGAAATATCAGTTAACATGTGCACTTTGTTGTAATGGAATGCCTGGGGTACCGTTCATGAAAGGATTGAACAATTTAAAAAATCATGAGGAAATTCTTACTCGAATCAAAAAATCTATTGATACTGCATCTGAATATGGTTTTCCAAATGTGATTGCCTTTGTTGGATACAAATGGTTCCATCCGGAGGATCCTTCCAGTGGTGAAATTTCGATAAATGAATGTGTTGAAAGTTGTATCAAAGGTCTTCGTGAATTATCCGTGTACGCAGCTGACAAAGGTGTTACAATCTGTCTCGAACATCTCAATACACGTGATCGATCGCATCCGATGAAAGGTCATCCTGGTTATCAAGGAGATAATATTGATTTATGCGCTAATATTGTTCGTCGAGTCAACTCTCCGAATGTTCGTCTTTTGTTTGACATCTATCATGTACATATCATGCATGACGATGTTAACAAACATTTACGAGATCATTATGATATTATCGGTCATATTCATACTGCAGGTTATCCCGGTAGAAATGAACTAGATGACAAACAGGATATATACTATCCGGATATTGTAACAACTATTCGAAAGATTGGATATAATGGTTATGTTGGCCATGAATTCATTCCAACTCGTGAACCTCGCGATGGATTCTTTGCAGCAAAGAAGATATTCGATGTTTAACTCGATCAAGGCATTAATCGCGATCTTTCCATCATGTTTGCTCTTTCGTTCGCTGTTTGATTGACAAAATAAAACAATCGAATCAAATTTACTTTTCTCTCACTGTTGGCTTGACAAAAGTGCAAATGAAAGCATAATCACTATCGCCTATATGAAATAAACTCAATTGAATTGTTGATATCTAATATGATAAAGCAAATCAGGCGCGAGAATCGAAATGCATGAAGATCGTTTGCTTGCGATTGTGACTTATTGGAAAACTGAAGTGTGTAGTTTATCAAATGAAATTCGGCGCTTGAAAAAAGATTTTCAACAGCAAATCGAACAGTGTCAAAACGAAAATATTTTATTGAAACAAGCTTTAATTTCCACAAAATCAAAAGATTTTCCATCCTTGATTGAAAATCTTCACATGAACGCAACGAAAATCGAAAACTCCATTGAAGAAATGAACCGAAATTGTAAAAGACAGTTGAATAATCGTTAAATTCTCTTATGTTCACCTGGACTATGTCCACAATCACAAAGATTTGAACCACGTTTATGTTTTATGTATATCGGACATCGACAGATGAGACAAAAACTAATGTGAGGTTCGATACGACGTTGTGATCGATAACAACATGAACTACATGCACAGCCCATGATTGAAAATGAAAATTTCTTCGTTTTATTTCAAACACAACAGCGACGTTCGTTTTCTTTTCTTGTTGCCAACGAGATTATTTTTGCTTGTTCTTCAATATTTATTTTGAAACAAAACATATCATTCTTTTCCTCTCTCGCGTCAATGCGCATAATCTATCATCAAGAAGCGTATGCAAAAAGATAAGACGGAGTGCGAGCCATTCATGTGAAACACGTTTACATAAATACTCCTCAAGTTTTTGCCAACGTTGTATATAATGGAGTTCGATGAAGAGTCACATGTTGATAACGAGGAAGATAATGTCGATCAGCAGAGAAAACGTTCATCAATACCTGATGTAACCCGACGAACGGCATCGATAATAACTCGAATTACACCAGAAAATCCTGTTGCCACTCGTAACGAACATCTTCTTGTAACGGACATAACTCCATGTCGAAATTTCTCTCTGTTCTTTGGTCTCACGCTTCGATCTATAGGAGTTATATTTGGTGATATCGGTACATCTCCCTTGTACGTTGTCAATACAATTTTCGATTATGAACCAGATCCATCTCAATGTATTGGTGCAATAAGTTTAATCATTTGGAATTTGATTATAGTTGTATCGATAAAATATGCAATTCTAATCTTAATGGCTGATAATCATGGTGAAGGTGGAACATTCGCTTTGTGCGGGTTGTTAACTGACGAAAAAATCAAGCTAAGCCGAAGAGTCAAACTTACAATTCTGATTGTGTCATTAGTAGCTGCTGCGATGTTACTCGGCGATGGAGCGTTGACACCAGCTGTATCTGTTTTATCGGCGATTGAAGGTTTACTTATCGATGTGCCTAGCATAGAAAGCTGGATTGTTCCGATTGGTGTCGTTATTATCGTGTTACTTTTTCTCGCGCAACGATGGGGAACATCGAGAATCGGAATTGCTTTTGGTCCGATCATGTTTCTCTGGTTTCTGTCTTTGTTTATTATTGGTATCTGGCGAACTACAATGAGACCCGAAATTTTGAAAGCGTTCAATCCATGGGAAGCGTTTCACTATTTATTAAAAGAGAAAAAACGTGGATTTTATCAAATCGGCGGTGTGTTCTTATCCGCAACTGGTCTTGAAGCATTGTATGCTGATTTAGGCCATTTCGGACGATGGCCAGTTCGTTGTGCTTGGTTCTTCGTTGTATTCCCAGCAGTTCTTTTCAACTATTTAGGACAAGGTGCATTGTTAATCTCGGATCGATCTTTGATTGATAATCCATTCTACCATTCCATACCTGAATGGTCCCATTGGCCAATGATTGTCTTAGCAACACTAGCAACGATAATCGCGTCTCAGGCAGTCATCACTGGAAGTTTTTCGTTAATAAGTCAAGCGATTGGTATGGAATGCTGCGTACCATTTAAAATCTATCATACATCGAAGACGATTATCGGACAAATCTACATTCCGATGATTAACTACATTTTAATGATTCTGACAATAATTATCATCGTTGGCTTTCAAAAAAGTTCGAGAATAACCAATGCTTACGGTGTAACGGTTTGTAGTGTTATGGTCATCACAACAATTTTATACATGTGCGTTTTGTACTTTACGTGGCATAAACCATGGTACGTAGTTCTTCCGTTTGGTTTATTCATCATTATTGATATGTATACATTGGCATCCAATGTAATCAAGATTCCAAATGGTGGTTGGGTTGCAATTGTTATTTCGTTTGGTTTTTTCATTTTTGGGTTCTGTTGGTTTTTCGGTCAGAGGAATTTACGACGATATCTCAAAGTTCACGCTCGAACAACAAGCCTTCATACCTTAGCATTGCGACTTGGAATATTACGCTCAAACTCACGACATAACTCGCGCAATTCTCTTCCAGATCTGCCGACTATAGGTACAGCACATCGAATATCTTTCGTAGATCAAGATTCCAATTCTGAATCTGATAACGATGAATGGGATTCATATAAAAGACCTATGCATCATGTACACAGTAGCGTACGTTTGATCGAAAATATTCCGATTAGTTCATTATCGAATATGCCGCCTGTTATGAACGAAGAGAACACCATATCCGCTGTCATCACACCAACTGTCGGCTGTTTTCTAACCCGCTCCTCTAAACATACACCACACGTATTTGAAAACTTTCTCACTCGTACGTGCTCCGTTCCTCAAGTTACTATTTTTCTTCGTATTCGGCATACAAAAACATCAACTGTCGATGTTAATCAACGCTTAATCGTGAAACAATATGGAGAAAATATCTTTCACATCACTGCATTATACGGCTATTCAGAAAATCGAATACAGCCATTTCAAGTTTTATTACTCGCACACACTCAGTACAATGTACCTGTGCCTACCAACGAGTCCAAGGTAACTATATACACACCAAATGAAACAATTAAAGTGAGAACAACAGGATGGCAAACATGGATTCGTCGCTGGCCATTATATCTCTATGCTATATTAAAGAGATTCTATCCAGGTTCGGCTGTGAACATCAAATTAGAATCGGAAAATACAATCAGTATTGGTATCTTAGCTGAATTGAAATAGTAATCGTCTTAACCTTTTTGAAAATTCTTTGTTCTAATCGCTTGAAATAACCAGAGAAAACATTCGGAAGTAACCACAATATAAATTCCAATACCGAGGAAAACAATCGGAACGAGATATCGTGCACATTTTTGTGCGAGACTTAAAATTGGTGGAGAATTAATAAAATAGTATGAAATCATAAGCCAAACGAATACCATGACGAGAAAGATGATGATATAAACAATAATTTGCCATTGATATGCTTGAGCAAAGAGTGGAGTATAAATAGAAATATTATCCGCACTGTTGGCGAGAGTTATACTTATTACTTTCAATGTTTCCAAAGAAAATATATGATTAAGGATGGAGAGAATTCGATTCGAATTTGTTGCTGGCTCTTGTTCGTCAGTTTGTTTTTTGATTTCGAATCGGATTGACCCGTCGACGTCGTTTCGACAGCGAATCATTTCAAGCTGAATGGTTGATATGGGCGAATCCGTCGGAATAATATCATCAATAGTTCCATGTTTTCTCTTTTTGTAGAATTCAATGATTAAATCTAGTATAGTCTTCAATCCGATAAAGATCGGTAAAAATCCAAGAAAGCCAAGCATTTCAATGGGTAAGACAAATGAAATGAGATAGCCAGTCAGACTTATGATTAATAGGATAAAAAATCCGATATATTGACCGATGAAAACGTGATGAACTTTCATTGAGGAATTGCCTAATGATATTTCTGTAAAGAAATTCATTAGAATAATCAGATCGTCTGCGTTCGTTGCGACGTATGAGATCAATGCAGTTAAGACTAGTTTTCCAACGTTTTTCTCGTGGACACTCATCATCTATACTTGTTGATGAAACTTTTCTTTCGATTTCTGTACTCTTACAAAGTCAACATAATACTCGACATTTCATGTTGCTTTTATTCGCGAAAAAGGTTAAACTCGATTACATCTATTCAACATTTTCCTTTCGTTGCTTCCATCAAAAGGTCATCATTTGAGGCATATCAAAGACATTGAATATACCTGTAACAGATGTCATGCCAGTACCAAGAAAACTAAAATAGAATCGATTTGTGTTCTGTGGAATACGAAAGTAATAAACCGGATAAGTATAACCAGGTGCATAGAAATATTGGGGATTGGTAGTTGCAATTGCATTAGCATTGGTTGGATTGGTTTTAGATAAAGAGGAATAAACTAAGCATTCTATGCAATTCGTCGTAAAAGTAACGACGGTATCATTTGTTCGGATGAATGCTTTGGTATTTACTTGTACTGTATAGTAGGCACCCGCGACGGTGGATGTGAGTGACAACTGTTCACCAACTGAGACTACACGTGGCACATTGGAAATGAGAAAACTAATCAATGAAGTGGAAACAATTAATTCTGTGAAACTACTGAATGGAAGACCGTATTCATCAGTGGGATGCGATGCTAATTTTTGTAAAACAGATGTAGTAATTCCTGAACCGATGCCAACAATGATGACAGTCATGCCAAAATTGTCTTCTAATTGACGAATACGTGCTTCAGCAGCTAGATCTGGTGATGAGGTGAATATAACCGTCACTCGTGAAATCTTTTCCCGGCAAGACGTATGACATGCTGCATTAACCGAGTCTAGAGCTGCACTAAGACTTGATGGATTTAATTGTGTCGCTGTATATTGCTTCAAATCAACATTCTTAGAAACAGTCGTGGCAGAATTAGAGCCAAACGGCACGACTGTATCAACTGATGATGTAGATCCATAGAAGTAAACGCCAAAGTAAGGTGTCGAGCTTCCCGGTTGCAAATCAGTAACGATATTTTTCACAGTAATTTTTATTTGCCCAAATTGTACTGGAGTTAACCGTGAAGTGGTCTCATCGACTAAGATAAACAAATCGATCGCTCGATTGTTCATTGGATTGTCATAGATTCGTAGCTGATTGGCTTGTATTCCACTAAGGAACACCATTGCTAGTAAAAAATGAGTTAACATAGTCGTAGAGTCCGGCTTTCGCTATTGTATGATTGCTAGTAATAGTTTTTGAATATCTACCTGAAAAAGATTTACATCAACAACAGCTTTATATAGATAATTAAGAAGTGACGTTCTCTTTCTGCGAAAGACAAACTGGCAAGGATAATGTAACGTGTAATCGTATGAGATAATCTGCATCTGGTATGTAAAACTGAGGTTTTTCGCGCGCAGCATTTTCTGCGAAAATAAATGTTGAGTGAAATACGTTGTCTGATAACCACTAACATATTATTTTTCTCGCATATCGTCACTTCTATCGACCGCCAACTATCTATGATATTTACTCAATTCGAAACAAGATACCACATATTTTCTATTACCATGTAAATATATAATACAACAAAAATAATCTGTAAAATACTAATACACATGACCACATTGTCTACAGAACTGCGTAATAGTCTGACTGCAGTACCGTGGAGATGCAACGCTGCCTTAGACTTGGTAGATTGGTGATACTTCATGACTGATTATATTTGTTGGCTGTAATGGATCAAATTGTGCGATTTCAATGGTGATCTAATGACAGAAGTAAATATATGAAATTGAAAATTGTAAGGGTCAATGTATACTCACGTGACATAGAATTCTTCCGGGGGGAAAAAGCGGATCCTATGAAATTTTTGGATCCTCATCGGTCCTCATGGAGTGTGGTATCTCAAAAAGCGTGAATTCATATCAATTCTAAATGTGAGGAGCTATGAGGATCTACAAGGATCCAAAAATTTCAAAGGATCCGCTTGTTACTCCTTGGATGGAACTCTATATAGAAAATAACGGCGACTATTTTGAGCATCTAATAAAATAAACATACAAATATTTTTCCTTTTTTGCATTCTATTTTTATGTTGGCGGAGCCTTTTCTTAGTTATAACTACTATAGATTTAATCTAACAGGATACTGGAACTAAATCCAAGATGAATTTGCTCTGTTGGTTATTGAAAATGAGAACTTATACTATATTCTGTCTTAAAAAGACATTCAATATTTACGGCTTTATAGAATTTTAAACGTCAGGCTCAGAACTTTTTTCGTACGCCCTAAATATAACCGCTAAAGTTTTCGAAAAAAACATTATCTAGAACGGTCAGTCTAAAAAAAAAACTTATATATAATATGCAAAACTCATCGTAAAAAAGGTAAACCATAGTGTATTTGATAGCGGCGAACTTGCTCTATCAAATGAACATTAAAAAATTCGACAAATTTGCCTTTTAGGATTTTAGACAACTTTGATCCTGATCAATCACAACCAAACGTATAGCCCAACATTACGAAATAATCATAAGATTCCGATTGATCAAGCTTTGCATGTGCGCAAAGCATTTTCGCGACGATTTCACATGATTATAACTGTGTAAAATTAGAGATATTTGAATTGCGTTATGCTACGCTTTGCATTTGTTGCTCATGGTGTGTCATGAGATTTGCTTGCGTCTTATATTTACAGTAGCAAAGCGTACTGATAGAAATAATTGCAATGTATTTTGTGCGATTGGAGTGCAAGTAAAACGAATCAACAGTGACGACATCGACACGCATGGTGACGTCCACATTGTCGAACAAAATACTGTTAACTGTAAGGTGATTTGGTTTGTTTTGGCAAGATTTTCATACACAAATATTCGTACGATTATGTTCTTCTCTTTTGTATTCATGCAATAAGTATAAGAAAGTCTAGAACATATCCTATAGAAAAATCGAAGTATATAGTAATGTCGAAATCATTCTCTCATCATAGTAAGAACGATAGAAAAGACATTTGCAAAACCGTACACTGTTTATATTCTTCATTTTATTTTTGTTTTCGTTATCAGACGATGTCTTCAGACAAAAATGATCAGACACAAATTAACTTCAACTCATATTGGGAATATTGCTCTCGACCGACAAGTAATCAATCAGACGATCAATTATTGTCTCATGATTCAGATGTTGGTTCACAATGGTACTCTGTGACATTACCACACGTTCCTGCATCCGATCAGCAATATAATTACTGGTATCGAAAGCATTTCGATTGGATCATACCTGATGAACGACACGAACAGCAGGTTTATCTTTTCTTTGACTCGTGCGATGACGAGGAACAGCAGTCGAATGCACCGAATATAACCGGTAGTATTTGGTTAAATGATAAAGAAATTCTCTCGAGTTCGCCATTACAAGACAAATCAATTGAATTGACCAACCATTTAGTACAATCTTGCCAATCGAGTGAGGATGGTAATAAGTCAAGCAATGTCTTCCTTGTTCATTCCATTGGTACAAGGTTAACTCTCAATGCTCGTCTCATTGTGTTTGGCACAATGATTTGGACTTCGGCACAATTGAAAACAGAAAGCAGAAGCGATCAAGACGTTGATGAATCGAATTCTGACGAAGAGAATAATAATGTTGACTACACAGTTCGCGTCGATGGTGCCGATAGGCGTATCAGCGTTGTATTTTCAAGTCCTAACGAAGACTATCAATCCTCACTGCCGACTTTTAACCGATTTCATGTCGTCGAAGAGGAAGAACACTTAGAAAATATCCCAATCGTACCTCGTCTTACAATTGTTATTCTAATTGTTGGGACAAGAGGTGACGTTCAACCATTTATTGCGTGAGTATGTCAAAATATCTGTTTATAAAGAAAAATGCTCCTCGTTTAGTCTCGGTAAAGAACTTCTAGCCGTTGGTCATCGTGTTCGATTAGCTACACACGAAGTATTTCGATCTTTTGTTCGTGAAAATGGTCTAGAATTCTATCCACTAGCTGGAAATCCAGCTGATCTAATGTCATTTATGGTGAAGAATGCAGGTATTATTCCTTCGATGAGTAGTATCGTGGCAGGAGATGTTGGAAAACATCGTCATATTCTTGCCGACATTCTGAAATCAACTTGGTTCGCGTGTACGGCTAACGATGATGAAACATCGTTACCATTTACTGCTGAAGCAATCATTGCTAATCCACCATCGTTCGGTCATATACATTGTGCAGAAAAACTGCAAATTCCTCTCCATATGATGTTTACGATGCCATGGTCTCCTACCACTTCTTTTCCGCATCCATTCTGCAACATCGATAGTTCGAGAGGTCCAACAGGAAAAATCAATTTCCATTCCTATCATGCTGTTGAGATGCTCGTAAGCTTTTAATCAGAAAGGAGTATCTACTAGTTACTATCAATTTCTTTTATGTAATAGACATGGTCCGGCATGCGCGGTATTATCAACCATTTCCGTAGGAAAGTTCTTGGACTCTCTTCATTGCATGCACAGGAAGCGACAAGTTTACTTGTTGCCGAATCTGTGCCACATACGTACTGCTGGTCGCCAGCACTTGTTTCGAAACCACCAGACTGGCAGTCACATATAAATATTTCCGGTTTTTTCTTTCTTGATCTATGCACTGCTTACACGAATCCACCGCAAGATCTACTCGATTTTCTTGGCATTGATAAAGATCGTCCTCAGGATGAACCGAAATTACCTGCACCAATCTATATTGGCTTTGGTTCAATTACCGGACATGATTCTCGACGCCTCCTTGACGTTGTTCTTGACGCTCTCGAACGAACCGGTCATCGTGCCGTCCTATCTGGTCTTGCTACAGATGCCGATCAAATGCCTAAGAACGTTTTTAAAATCGGAAGTGTTCCACACGATTGGCTTTTTCAATATGGTGAGTAAACTTGAATATTTAGCGAGTATTTCTACGGGGGGTTTTCTAATAGTGTGGGCTGTTTGTCATCATGGTGGAGCAGGTACAACAGCAGCTGGTCTGCGTGCTGGTAAACCAACGATTGTTGTACCGTTCTTTGGCGATCAATTCTTTTGGGGTAACGTTATCGAGAAGAGTGGAGCTGGTCCTAGTCCTCTGCCTGGAAGATCTATCACAGCGTCGGCATTAGCTGACGCGTTCGTGTTTGCGAGTCAACCTGCTGTACGGCAATCAGTTGAACATATTCGTGAATGTATTTTGAAAGAAAACGGTTGTCAGGCAGCAGTTCGTTCATTTCATGCCAATCTGCCGCATGCTCTCCTGCGTAGCGATCTCGAATCAACGTTTGCCGCTTGTTATAGAATCAATGGACTCAATATTCAAATATCACGTCCAGTTGCTCATGTTCTTCTTTCGGCAAACGTTATAGATGCGTCACAACTTCATTCGCATCATATTTGCAGATGGCGAGCAAAAAGTGAACGAAAATCGCAGAAGCTTAGTGATGATTTTTCTGGCGATATCAAAAGATCACACTCGCGAACAATGACTGATAACGATATCCATCTATCATTAGTCAGTAGCAGCAGCGCTGGAACTCTTGGATTATATAGTTATAATAATACAGAAAGTTCATCATTTCAGCCATCACTCTCGTCTCAGACAGTAAGTGATACATCCGACAGTGTATATTCATTTGGCAATAACGAAAGGTATGTTACCGGAAGGAGATTTTCTCAATGAGCTCATTGATTTACGATGATGAAAACACGATTTTTTTGTTTGTTTTAGTGAGACGAAAAAGGATCAGGAATCTGATGACAATAAATCGAGAACAAGTTTTTCATCAGCTGTATTGTCACTGTGTCATAAGCGAAAATCGAATCTTCTCAAGTTTCTGAAACGATCACGATTTGGTCATCAAGAAAGTGATGAACTTCATTTCACTGCTGATGCTTTAATTGCTACTACAAAATGTGCAATACAACCTGCAGTTTGTTCCATTCCAAAATCTCCAAACTGGTTTAGTACGAATTCACCAGAGCATACTTGCGTGAGCGCATTAATTCAGACGACTGAGACACAATCTTGTCCTAAAGACAAAGATTCGAAATCACCCTCAGCCATTATCCAGGCTGCAGTAGCGATATCAGGTTTCGAGCCAAAAGCGTGTGAACAAATCCTTCAAGAATTCGACCAAATGAAAACGAGACAACACCAGGTCTTGTCTCCTTCACCCGTATTTAAAAGACAGTCAAAGCATAAATTTCATTTTCGGCGACAACGCAGCCATTCCACTTCTGAACTCGAACAAAACGAAGAATGTTTTTGATTGTTGTTCTTATTTTTCATTTTGGAAAAATATTCGTGCTTGCAATAATACAAAATTTTCTATTTCAGTTGCCAGCTAGAAGTGGACTGTTTGAGTTTTATTAAAAAGTATTTTCATACAGAAATCTTTATCATACATTAATTTAATTGACAATCTCCTACGTGGGGAAAAAACTATCTAGAGTCAACCAAAATTCATTCTTTTACGCATAGTTCATATGCTCACAAAACATTAACCAAATCTCATATTAACCTTTTGGAGTTCTGGTAAGGCCTTTTGTGGGACGAGCAGTAGTCGTGGTAGTACTTCCACCTTTTGTATAAAACGTTGACTGAGTAGTTTTACAACAAGCACGGTTACTTGGACAGCACTGGTATGCTGTACTCGAAGGTGTCGTAGACGTTGTTGGTGGTGTTGTAGTTGTACTCATAATACTTATGCTCCCAGTACTACTTACGGTGGTAGATCTGGTGGCTTTCGTTCGCATAGTTTTTGTTTTTGTTGTTGTTGTCGTGCTGCTGCTGTCGGTGGTACTAGTCGTACTCGCACCACTCCTGCTTGTCGTAGTAGTTCTCGTGGTTCTAGTTCGCACCGTTGTTGTTCTTGTTCTTGTCGTGCTGCTGCTACTGCCGCCGCCGCCGCCAGTACTCATTGAGGTGATGGATCTGGTGATCTTGGTTTGCATTGTTGTTGATGTTGCCCATGATGATTTTGTTCCTCTGCCTCCCGTTGTTGTGGTCGTACTTGCTGCTAAAGTAGTATCTGTGGCTGAATCACAAAAGAAATCACTTTAGCTTTGCTTTTCTCATCTTCTCATACATATTTACCTTCAGAGTCTTTCTTGACCATCGTTGGAATTAGAGCAGCAACAGCAATCAACATACCAGCCACGCAAGCGCCAGCAATAGCCAGTGCAATAAAACGTCGATTTCTTGTCCAAAACCTAATCCACAAATACATAGTTATGGTGAGAGCGACATGGAAAAAGATAGAACATACGTTGCATGTGATCGTTTCGATTCAATAACACGAAGTTCTCTCATATCCATTCGCACTTGTCGTGCTGCGCGTTCAGACGCCATACCCGCTAATTCTCTAGTCGCCATCAGTCTTTTGACAAATAAACGCGAACTATTTCACCGAGTAAAATGAAAGTTTGTTTGAAATTATTTATTTGTAGACATATATCGACGTCATCAGCTTTTTAAACAAAACAATCAAGAGAACGTTATTTTAGAACTCGAACAACTCTCGATTTTTCTCTTTGTCTATATATACAACGCATTAGTATTGAAGAATATAGAGACGGCGTTTTGTTTTCGAAACTATTAATGATTTTTGTTATATTTTCCGCAACGCGCGTGATTGCTGTTAATGCTAGAAGCAACAATTGAAAAGATTTGCGAAAATATTCAATGCATAAACATTTAGGAGGAGCAAAATGTGTACTTTCCGTCTAGAGAAAATTTTTACGCCAATGATGTTCGCCAGAATAATAGTTAACGGGCTAAGTTTATTTCTCTCGAAGATAACTCCTTTTCCAATCGAACAAGTAAATCAAATACCAATACCAATTGTTTTCATGTTCATTTATTATGAAAGAAAAGAAAAACAAGTTTTCAATTCACTAAAAGCATCGCTCTTCGTTTTCTTTCTCTCGAAGAATAATAGTTCGCGCAAAATACATGTTACGATGTACGCGGCGGTAAAATTTTCATTCTAATCGAATCTTTCACTTGCCAAGTAAGACATCGAATGCTCCCTCCCATCATGCAAACGTTCTCAGCCGGCACTGCGATGACAGATTTGTCCGTATACGATTGAAATTGTTTCAACATTTCATCATCATGCTTGCTATTGAACGTCGGCATATAAATGTAATGATCGGTGACAATTGAATTGACATAAACATTGCGAGCTGTAGTGAAATTTTTCCAGGTTTCATCGACAAAATAATTCGGAGTTTCGATAATCTCGACATTGGGAAACGAAGCTTTTAATTCACTGATAATTTCCGAATGTAATGGTTCAGTTTCACTTGCAAATAAGATCCGATCATCGGTGGCCCACATAACCATTCCATCTGCATGTCCAGTTGTATCACCTGGTAATTGTTTGATAATAGCAATTTCATCCACACCAAGTATTTGTCGAAGTTTTTCTTTCGCACTTGCTTTTGTTAGCGAAGGATTGTCTTGGAGGACACGATCAGTGATAATCACTCGTGTTCCAGATGGATTATCGACGATATTTCCTGCATCGAGAATAATATCGGATTTTTCAAAAAAATGAACATCATGTTTTGAACACCAACGAAGAAAACTGTTTTCAACATATTTTGAATCCGACAGCTTTATGTATGACGGTGCATATTTGAATTTGATTTGCCGAGTAGGTATTGCAGGAGAAAAATCACGAATCCATATATCATCAATCTGCGCTTCGATTAACTTGTTTGGATCGATCTTTCCTTGGAAAGATGGAAGAGTATCCGTATCGGCAAGAATGATCAAATCATCTTTTCCATTAGCAAGTTTAGCAAAATTTGTCATAAACTCGATAATATCCGCGAATTTCTCTGAATAATACTTGGATTTTATCGATGGTGCAGCTAACACCAGAAGAGTTTTTACTTTGCTTTCCATGAACGTACTCAATAAAAGTCGAACGACACCTAGCGATTCGAAATTTCCAATTGATTATGTGTCACTTGTGGGAGCTTGTTTTTTGCTGCATTTGCTTTTATACTCGCATCATTAGTCATATATAGTTTATATCATTCGTTATTATATTATAGATCTTATACAGGAGAAAAAATGAATCGCTTTAGTTTGACTGATGTAAATCCCTACAACAGAACGACAGCTATTTACTTAAAACGTGAAATGACCAATGAAAAGGGAAGCCTCCGTCATGTACTGTCACATGTCGCTACCATACGCGTGCGTGTAACAATAGCAAGGTTCACAAATTGAGGGAATATTTAAAATATTTATATATGATAAGTTCATTGTTTTTTCCTCTGAAAAAATCGATGTATGCCATTGTCAAAGCACTTTTCGGGACATCTGTTTTCAATGTATCTGGATGAAGTAAACTGTATAGTTGGTTGTGAGTGATTGAGTATACTACGGAAAATGAAATAAGTCATCAGAAAATTGTGAAACATTGAGCAACTATAGCAATAGCCTATCAGAAAAAACTACATGTTATACCGAGACCGAGCGCCACAAGCTTATTTTATTGGTGGAACAGCTTGTTGTGTGATTGGCGCATTGCTGTTGAATTGTCTCGAAACGGATGATTTTTCTATCCTATTTCGTCCTGACTGATTGAATTGTTGGGATAAGTCGACAAAAAGCCATGCCAAGCCCGGTGGTCCATGTTGGTTACGCATTAGGATTCGGAACATTGATCATGACGGCAACTAAAGGATCTTTTACTGCTAGTCATTGTCTACTCTTAGCTGTGAACAGTTTCTTCGGACCTGATATTGGATCTTTTATCGGATGGTGTCTATCGCTAACATTTCCGGCACTGGCAGATACAGCTATGAGTTATATACACGATAGCATTGGTTATATTACATTGATAGCACCTCTCATCGCTTTCTTATCTTCGAAATTATTGAAAAAATGCAGTCGTTGGTGTGACGAGAATAATTCCAGTTTGATTTCATTAAATCTGAAAAATTGTTATTTATTATCGATTGCTGGTTGTTTGTTACATTTTCAAATTGATCACATCTTCGAAGAGAATGGCAAAGATAAGTTTTATCAATGGATCCTATCAACTGGTTATTTTCAAAAGCCGACGCCACCATTTTTACCATTATCAGTCATTTTTGTTGGAGCGTGTACATTATCGTTGTTTTTTGGATTTGCTTGGATTCATCTATCAACAAGAGAAACCTTATCAGTCAGATTAAAATATACGTTAATATTATTTGTATCTGTGACAATTATTTATCTAACGTATTTAGCAGTTTCGCAAATTATTCTGAAAAAAATTGCTGTTGTTGGGGAAGAAGCAGATCTGGGTGTAATGATTTTCTTAATAATATTTCACATTTTACCTTTCATTCTCTGTTTGCTTTCTATACAACATTGATCATCGTGATTTTTTTGTATGATAAGAAACACAAAGGAAATAGAATGTCACAGCTGTTGCATTTTTTCTTTTTCTTCTGCTCAAGAAAAAAGTCGATGTCATTCGATTCCGCGTCGTTCATTTCCAATACATGTCGTCGTACTATTATATTTCATCCAATCCGATTCCATATACGATTCTTTGTAGTTTATCTTCGGTACAAATTCAAAAGTTACGATCTGGTCTGAATTTTCTCGAACTTCCATCGAGAGATCCAAGTAAAAGCAAAGCAAAATTTATTCGCTTGATAATCTATCAAAACCCGGACAAAACTTTGATTGTTTGTCGAAACCTATGTCGTCACGCAGGGGGAAACTTTGTTCATGATATCGAAGACGCACCACAAATCGTGCGGTGTGCATTTCATGGATGGAAACTCAATGTTCAAACATTAGAATATACTCATCCGGCCGATTGTCTCAAGCAAAAACGGTTAGAGATTGATCAAACCAATGAGAATGAATGGTTGATCTTAGAACCAGCATTGTACGATCCATGGATGATCGATGCGAAAGAAAAACAAGTTTTACAGCCTGATGAATTAACTGTTACCTTTATTAGTCACGCTTGTATAGAAATTCAAGCTGGTCCGACCCGATTGGTCATCGATCCATGGTTAATTGGTCCGGCTTATGATCGAAGTTGGTGGTTGTTACATGATATCGATGAGAATTCTTTGGAAAGGATCGCCAATGCTGATGGAATTTTCATCTCGAAATCCACTCCGGACCATTTCAATCGATGTACTCTAAGACGTATTGTGCAACTCAATCCGGGTATTCATGTTTATTCTCCGGAAATGTTGATTAGTTCGCTTGAACAATTAGGATTTGTTAATACACATTCCATTCGATTGGGAATTTGGGAAGAAATGCCGACGAGTGAATGTCGTATGATGATTTTACCTGATCATAAACATCCATATGATGACTGTGCATTCCTGTTCGAATATAAAGGCTATCGAATATTGAATTTAGTCGATTGTTCAAGTCCGAATGGAGATTTTCTTCCCTATGGTGTTGATGTTTTACTGACAAATTTTACTTCGAACAAAAATGCTTATCCATCATGTTTTATCGATCAATTCAACGAGAAGAAAGTATTGCAACTGGCGAAAAACAAAGATGAAAAGTTTCTTAAAAGTATCATCAGGTTTATTCAATTGAGTAATCCAACTGTCTGGATTCCAGTTGGTGGTTACTTTCTCGAAGCAGACGAACAGATTCGATGTCTAAACTGGAAAAATGATCCGATGGATGTTGCTGAGCAACTTCGAACACGATTCCGATATTTAAAAACATGGTGTCCTTTTCCGAATGGAAAATATGATGTCGGAAGTAGTACTGGAGATTCGCCAAAGAGATCGGTGGATGATTATTTAGCGAAATCGTGGGATTTCCAGTATTATAATGATCAATTCGAGGGAATTTTGAATAATTCATCTTTAGAAACAATGAAAGGTGTTGAAGAATATTTCAAATGGACGTTATTCAATAGCTATGATCTTATTCTTCACATAGTCGAAGTTAAGGATGAATTTTCTGATATAATTCAGGAATATTATATTGATTTTCTCAATTCATTTCCGTCATTTCCTCCATCTCGTCCAATAGATCGTCCTTACTTACGTATTCGTATCCATGCATCAGTTGTCCGCCATGTATTTCTTCATGGTTTGTCATGGAATTATGTCTTCAATAGTTTCAGTGGAAGATATCTCGCCCAACCAGATGTCTATCACCGAAAGTTCTGGAATCATTTCAAATACAATCTGCCAAGCACTCCTCCTCGAATTGATGAATCGTCTGAACAATTATGATTAACTCCTTATTGTTTTATTAGGCTTTTTATTCGTACAAGAAAAATCGAGAATGATATTGTCGTGTTTATTATGTAGAATAATAAATTATGGTTCAGGATGTGGTACACTCATATTCCACCGACGATGAGGATAGGAATTTTTGTGACCACCTGGTACCCAATCTCTTGGGTGTTGAACAACAGATGATGATGCAGCTTCTGTTTCCATTTCATTCATCGTTGTCTTTCGTTTCGTTGGTCTACTTGGCGTATGCCCATAATACCCAGGTCCGCGGTAATGATCCTGGTAAGTTGTAATAGGTGCCTTTGAACTTGACGAACGTCCGGCTGTGTACGGACGTTCTTCAACATAGGAGGGATACTGAACATACTGAGCAGCATTAACACTAGCATTAGCAGATGCGATGCATTCCGGACATGAACTACTCGAAGTATTTTGACTCGAAGTATAATACGTAGGATAATATTGTTGTTGTCTGAGTGCTCCAATATCATTTCGAAGGTCACTTAGTTCACGGCGAATAGCGGCAGTTTCAGATAGTAGCGAACTATTTGGACAATAGTGGCCGCAATACGACACTTGATAAGGATTGTAATAGGATACTGTAGCCGTACATGGACGTCGATGAATGCATTGATCTACAGGTTCGGTGATGTCGATTTGAAATCGTTCTGGTAATTCCATGAGATTGTCTAAAATCAGTTCCCGTCACTCGCTGGTAGTGGAATAGAAATGCGTGTTTTATTTTTCTGTTGACAACACTCGAACGTTTGATTTTGGCTTTGTTCTGAAACACTACCAAGGCAACGAGAGAAAGGGAATGTTTATTTCGTTGATGTGTTCTCTTTCTTACTTTGTAGTCGTAATGCGATGCATTTTGTAAATACATTTTATTTTGAGTTAACGACAACAAGAAAGAAAAGGAATGTATGAAAATGATCGATTATCAAAATAATTTGTCAATTCTGTTCTGGTGGTGACGTTCGATTGACGACAAAAAAAAAGAAATTTGAGAATAGATGGCGAAGACTTATTATTCTTTGTTTTTTATATTATAGAACAAAATTGACATCGCAGTGATCTATGAAGGGAAAATGAAATTGAATTCCGCCTAGATGCTCTTTTTGACATATTCTCTATTTATTATCATTAAAAACAATGAAGAGAAAAAAGATAACGCGTCGATGTAATGTTATCTCGCTTATGCTCGAGCATTTAGACGAAGAAAAAAAAGTATAAGATATGGTTGTTCCAAAATTGAAATTCATTCGAACACTTTGGGGCGCTGAAGCTCAATTTTCAACAGACATCAACGTTCTTCTCGCTGAAATTCATCGTTTAGGTTATGCAGGCGTCGAAGTGACTCTTAGCGATATTCATCGTGTTTCAGCTAATGATCCCGATGCTTTTCACCGCGCATTAAAAGCTCATCAATTAGAGTTAGTTGGATTAGCGCAGACAAACTATCCAACTTATAAAGATGGTACTTGGCAAGATTTACCAATCGATCAACATATCACGAATCTTGATATTCATCTGAAGGAGTTTTTGCCGTACAATCCTATACATATAAATATTCAAGGAGGTCAGGATTCCTGGTCGCGCGAAGAGAATGAAGAATTCATTGAGAAAGCATTGCAAGTACAAGCAAAATATCCACAATTGACAGCATCGCACGAAGTAATTATTACACATCTCTCGATCGTTTCTTATATGAATTTCTAGACACATCGAACGCGTGTACTCTACAACCCATTCATCACTGCACATCTTATCAAACGTTTCCCTAATCTACGCATCACAGCAGATTATTCACATTTTGTGCTTGTCTGTGAACGCTTATTAAATGATGCAACTGATGATGAACGTTTTCGATTGTTTGCTTCGCGTGTAGATCATCTACACGCTCGTGTTGGTACTGCTGAGCATCCCCAAATCAGTAATCCTCGGGAATCTCCGATGGAATGCGAACAGATGCAACGCTGGTGGGAGATGATATGGGATGCGCAAAAAGACCGCGAGTGGATTACTTTAGTGCCTGAGTACGGACCAGCACCATATGCAATGACGGCTGATATTGATGTCTGGGCTTTGACAAATCAGGAAATGGAACGCCAAAAGAAAAACTACGATCAGTGGGCAAGCAAAAACCAAAAATAACATTCAAAACTAGACAGACTCTTTTTCTATTGATTAAATAACATATAATCTAAATCAGAAGTATACATTAATTTAATGAAAAAATTAATTTGTATGACTTGAAGGCAGTTTTGCTGACAAAAGTGTATCTAAATATAATAATATGATCACTGTGCTCTTCGTTCATTTGCATAGCCATGAGAAATCTTTTTTTATGGATTGAGACTGTAAAGAAACACACATGATTCACTTTTTTCTCATTTGTGACTGAGCGAGGTACAGTATGTCGTCAACTACGGAATTAGTACGGTCTCTCACAATCTATGCTGGTATACCTATATTCACCATTGGAACAATAGGAAATCTACTGAACGTGCGTTGTCTATGGCGAACTCGTCGCAATCCCTGTGCTTTTATATTCATAAGCTTATCACTAATAAATTGTCTGGTTTTATTCTATGGTTTATTTACGCGAATCTTAGGTGTAGGTTTCAATCTCGACTGGGCAACGAGCAACGTAATTTGGTGTAAATGTCGTGCGGCATTTAGTCAAGCAGTCTCTTTCATGTCGTTAACATGTGTTTGTTTGGCGAGTATCGATCGATACTTTGCAAGTTGTCGAGAAGAAAAATATCGCCGTTTAAGTCGGTTATCTTATGCAATATGTGCTGTCCTGTTAACGTGTGTATTCTGGCTGCTGCATTCAATTCCGGATTTGATCTATGGGACTATAGCGCGAAACGCAGTGACAGGAGTCGTGACCTGTACAAGTTCTGCGCCTAAGGATTTTATAAACTATCAAATATACGTTTCACTGCCCATGTATCTTGGTGTGTTTCCCGCCCTGATTTTAATCGCGTCAGGCTTATTCACGTATAGAAATACGAGTCAATTACAAGCTGAACGTCAACGTGAGGTGATACAGAAACAACTGACGAAAATGATGCTTGTACAGATACCAATCATACTTGTTTCAACTTTACCATATATTGTATTTACGGAATATGCTATCTTTTCGGCGACAACAGCGAAGTCTACTGCACAACGAGCGACCGAGAGTATACTTAGTAATTCGATTACACTGTTGTTTTACTTATCATTCGCCACGTCGTTTTTCGTCTTTTTCGTATCGTCGAATTCGTTTCGACACGAAGCGAAATTATTTATACTCTGCCGAAAGCGAGAGTCCGATGGAAATACTCAAGTACAACCTTTCTCGACAGTTGCTGTGAAAAATGCCAATGTATAAGATTGTTTCAGACAAATGAGTTCACAGGACAAAGGTTTACGTTTTGATTCACTTCTGTAGTTTTGTTTGTGAGAAAAAAAATTCCTGGTGAAGAACTTGAAAGTAATTGTTCTGGATTTCTTTATATCGACATGTCGAATTTCGTGACAAAAGCGAAGCAAGTTAATAAATGTTCTGAAAATCGGCTTGCTTTGTTATTGCAGCGAGATAAAAGAAGAATTGGCAAAACTCCAGTCGGTGACGTAAGAACAGCATACAGAAACAGTTGCTGATTATGTATGGAAGAGTGCAGCGTAAAAGTTATGATAGATTTATCGAAACAAATATGTTCCACGTGATCAATTCACTGCTCTAGACTTTCGATGTTTTGTATAAGATTAAGAAGCATTTTACGAAAACTTTTCTTTCTATGTCGTAAACTGATGAAGTAATTCACAATCAAAACAATGAAGTGAATATTTACCTATTCTTTAAAAACAAGAACAAATCGTGTGGGGGCTATTTCAAAGGAATTATTATCCAACGAATTTTGGGTGTTGTTTCTCTATTTATGTACTACAAGTTTATACTTGCTTATTTTTTCTCTCTCATTCTTTCTCCTCCAGTCTGAAACAGTCTATAAACAAACAAATGCATATATTTCCAGCACAATAGACGAAAGGCACTTCATTCTTACTTGTCCAAACGGTAGTGGCTTGATATTTGTACTGCTTTTCAAAAATGTCCGCATTCGGCGAAGGAGATATGGTAAGTTTTTGAGCCACCCACAGCTAACTTGTCTCTCGGTGTATTAATATGTATCGTAATTGGCTTTTATCTAGGGATCTCGTCGTGCAGCACGACAAGTGCGAATGGATATGAGAGAACTTCGTGTTATTGAATCGAAACGATCACATGCAACGTATGTTCTATCTTTTTCTATGTCGCTCTCATCATAACTATGCATTTGTGGATTAGGTTTTGGACAAGAAATCGACGTTTTATTGCACTGGCTATTGCTGGCGCTTGCGTGGCTGGTATGCTGATTGCTGTTGCTGCTCTAATTCCAACGATGGTCAAGAAAGACTCCGAAGGTAAATATGTATGAGAAGATGAGAAAAGCAAAGCTAAAGTGATTTCTTTTGTGATTCAGCCACAGATACTACTTTAGAAGTAAGTACGACCACAACAACGGGGGGCAGAGGAACAAAATCATCATGGGCAACATCAACAACAATGCAAACCAAGATCACCAGATCCATCACCTCAATGAGTACTGGCGGCGGCGGCAGTAGCAGCAGCACGACAAAAACAAGAACAACAACGGTGCGAACTAGAACCACGAGAACTACTACGACAAGCAGGAGTGGTGCGAGTACGACTAGTACCACCGACAGCAGCAGCAGCACGACAACAACAACAAAAACAAAAACTATGCGAACCAAAGCCACCAGATCTACCACCGTAAGTAGTACTGGGAGCATAAGTATTATGAGTACAACTACAACGCCACCAACAACGTCTATGACACCTTCGAGTACAGCATACCAGTGCTGTCCAAGTAACCGTGCTTGTTGTAAAACTACTCAGTCAACGTTTTATACAAAAGGTGGAAGTACTACCACGACTACTGCTCGTCCCACAAAAGGCCTTACCAGAACTCCAAAAGGTTAATGTGAGATTTGACGAAAGATTTATCAACAGTAAACCAATTGTCGAACAATGACACTAGCTTGTATATTTTTCTAGTGGAAGAACAAAACAGATTTGGATGAATTGGATAAATCTGTTCCACGAAATTTTTCTGGTAGAATGCATTTAACTGTTTGAATCTCGATATATAGAAATTTCTTGTTTAATAAAATAAATAATAAATCGTTGTGATGATCTTAAAACAAGCCGTCTGAATAAGAGAAAAAATGCATTTTAAGTTTGAACTTATTCAGGAATAAAATTCACATGTTCCTTTCGGACTGCTTAATGTAAAGCGAACAGAAAAAAAGAATTTGTTTCGGTTTACACGCGTGGTGCAGAACACGTCACCAATTCAATGAAATGCGTCGAACTTTTTTCATTACTATTATTAAAATAAGTATCGCATGCTGTTGCATTGTATATCTATTCAAATTCTTAGCAAACAATGTTTCCAACCGATCAGCATACATCCGAACGCGTCCCCTCACCATTTGGTGTAATGACTATCATATCAGGTACTGAAATAATTCTCATTTCTTCATGTGATTTCGACTTCTCCTAGTCCAATATACGATATTAAACATCAATTGAAGCTATTCAACGTTGTGTTTCTCGACAAAAGTCTATCAGGTGCTTGTCATGAGACGAAAACGTGTGCTAAGAATTTGAAAATCTTACATCAAGGTAATGCCATGATGCCTACGGAAAAAGTCCGACAAGAATTTTACGAAGCGTACAAAGATGACGTCGAAATGAACCGAGTGGATATCTTCATGTGTTTTCATCCGGTGGCGATGTGTGAATTATTCATGCCGTTTAATCGAACAATAATCGTTCTTGCTTCTACTCGCTACGAACTAGGACGATACAAAAAAGAGGCATGGATGAATTGGAATAAAAACCTTCAAATCATCGCTAAAAATCATCGGTAATCAATTAGGAAATTCTCAAATTATGGAGGATAACTGTCTAACTTTAGAAATGTGATATCTGCAAATAATCTTTATGATGCGGAATACATTCGTTATTTTACCGGAATTAAACCCATTGTTTTGCCATCTTTATGCACTTATACAAATGCATCATATCAGCCCAATATGCACAAACCAGTTTTAATCGCACCGATACATGGAAAACAATTTCATACAGAATTTCGATTAAATTTAAGTAACGCTTTGGAAAAATTGAAAATCTCAATCAATGTAAGTGACCTACGCGAAGTTTATAAAGACCGCTACGAATACTCTCAACTTGTTCAACATCCAGCCATCATTTATGTACCATATCAAGTTTCATTGATGAGTTTATTCGAACAATACCGAATGAATATTCCCTTATTTTTCCCGTCACTTGATCTTCTTGCCGATTGGCATTTCGCGTATCGTGTTGTTCGCGAACGAACTTGGGGCGGGGTCATCGAAGATCTTCGTAACTCTTCACTTATATCCGGTGTTTTGGACAAGCACCGTCCTGATCCGAACAACGAATTCGATCGAAATGCTATCTATTACTGGTTAAAATTCTCTGATTACTATCAATGGCCATATATAACCTATTTCGATTCTGTTGATGATCTCGCTGTGAAACTAAGTCAAACAAACTTGACGGACATTAGTGAAAAAATGAGTTTATATAATGCACATGTAAAACAAGATTTACATGAAAAGTGGCGTGGAATACTTGAGAAAATAAACTAGATTCTGTGTGTGAACCGAATGCCTCTGATAAATGAATGATTAGCTCGGATTTATTGATGGCTTTCTAACACGGAGATTTACAAGTAGATTCTTTGTATTTGACAAACAAAGTTCTTATTATTCTTGATAATGATCAATGATAACATGACGTGTGTGTGCGATCTTATTAGAAAAGAACACGTAGGTATAGTTTTTGAAGATCATCCTTATTGGATGCGTTTAACTTTCTTTTTCTTTGTTTCTTGACGATTTTTCCGTTGCTTTGTTGCCGCAGCGTTTCTTGCATTGAGTTCTTCAAATGCTTTCACTATTCTATAGAATAAACACTGAAATGAATAGTCTATCATTCGTTCTGCTCTCACCGTTGTTGATCAGCTCGTTTAAGTGTGTCGAAATCATAAATTTCACGAGCTCCTTCCAATTTCCGTGTTTCAGGATGTTTCCAAAAACAGTCGAAATGATTCCAAGCGGTACTCTTGTAGCCTTCTTCGTCTTGTAACATCAATGCTATCCGTAATTGATTGTGTTCGATCTTTTCATCACATCCGTGACACATTGCTCGTGAAGATTTAGCATAATCTGCTTTACTATGATAACTAACACGACGGCTAGCTGATTCTCCTAATTCGTGGTTGGCGAATCTCTTCAACATTCGTAATAAAGACTGAGAATAACAAATACAGAAGTTAGCAAGTTTATCTTTATGTATCTATTACTTTATCTCATTGCAAAACAAAATCAAGATGTTGTGAAAGATATATGTATGCAAAATTGTTGGCCAAGTGAATATCAAATCATTCAGGTACGATAAATAACGACTACTGACATTGGCATAGATCTTTTACTCTCAGTTTCATATTATAAGCATCATGAGGGCTACTCTTTTATAAGCAAATTATACCTATATGCATCTTTTCAATTGCAAAGAACCCACAGCAAGAAGAGCATCAGGTGCAAAGCTTTCATTCATGGATTTTTTCATCATGTAGAATGATAGAAACCCATGCGTTCTTCTACAAAATCAACTTGCGAAGTGATTCTCGCCCAAAAAATGTTTGTTGTCTTTTTAGTTTTATTTGATAATCATACAAAATCAAAATACCTCTGCTTCCATATGTTGAACAACAAAATACGAACAAAAAAATATATATACTTAGTCTCATGTTCGCTTTTGCCTTTGAAACTTAAGTGTGTAATAGAATAATTCACGTTTCAAAAATAAGTTTTCATTCCTACAAAACCCGATAGCAAAACAGCGGAAAACAGCACTTCAATTCTGTTTGCTGCAGAGTGAAGTCTGGTAGCGATCGTATTACACTTCGAGTCTGCAGGATTGATAGCCGAAATGACTTTGCTATCTTCACTCAATAATAGACTAAGAGAAGAGCCAAATAGGCTGAATGGCATTTTGAAGTCCTTTGGCATGTTGACCTCGCTGAATATAATTGGTTTACTTGCACACGTACCAATTCCATCGGCTTGTCCTATGATTCGTAATTTGGTTTCATTTGCGACAGCTGAAGTAGTAATATAATCAAAAAGACAGCAGCACGTAAGTTTGTTACACTTCGTGTCAGTACTCCAAGTACCAATCCAATCCGGTGCCGCTGCAGAATCACTTTCAACGACTGCATCTATTCAATACAGCAAACGGTATGTAAATTCATAATGCATCAATATTCTTTCGTACGTACTTGCTTTTATAACTGTCATCAAAATGCTTGTAGTCGCAAAGATATACCAAAGTTTGCTTGTCATTGTTCAATAGATGATTTGTAAAAGATGAATAGTAATCAATCAAAATTTAAGTGTGACGAGATGCTTCGATGAATATTTAAATATATATAAATACACCCGAAACAAGAAGGCTTTGGACAACGTCAACGTTAAAAAGATTATCTTCACTTGTTATATGTAATACGATGACAAACTTTAAAATATAATGTGAAATTCTCTTATCAAAAAATTACTCATGTTTTACACTGTTGATATATGACGCTAGTGGTTGTAGTTTTAACCGCCATGTTTTTGATTGTGCTTCAAATGTAACAGTAAATGACTCTGTATATGAAGGTTGCTTTTAGTGATACGTATAACACTCATTCGTCCTCCTTTTTTTTTCTCCCTAATCAATGATTCACATGTAAAGAGAAGAGAATGTAAAATTGTCGTATTTGTCATCTAACAGCTTGCTGTTAACTTATCCTGCGTCACTCTGGTACTATTGACATATGAACGCACCTGAGAATTTTTGTCCACATAGTTCTTTCATAGATCTGCTCGATTTTGTCGAATAGATTTATTTAGTTTAATAAATTTCCACGGAAGAGAATAAATTGAGATCTTTTTTTTCGAAGTGATTAGTTTCTTGGAAGAGCATACTTTTTTACAAATATGAGCGCTTTACGTTCGAATTCTGCTCGATTGTACATAAATTCTCCACCCATTCCTGAAGAAAAATAGAAATCCGTTTGAAAAAAGACGTCAAGAGCATATCAGCATAACTAACCGTGATTTAGTATAAATTGAAGGTTAGGATGGTCAATATAATCGACAAGAGCTCTGATGATTTCAACTAGTGAACGTCTAGGGCTCCATAGAAGATCGCGTTTCACCGTTTCCGAAGACAGACGACCTGAATGAAAAACAAATTGGTATTTTCGTTAAAGATTAAATCTAAATGAATTTACTCACCATCATCTGCTACACTTATATGATAAATAGGAGTAAGAAAGCGTATTTCAGGTGGGTCTGATGGATACATTGTTGGTAGCGTTATTTCTATTCGAAATGAACCTTCTCTGTATACGGATGAATTGGGAAATATTCGTCCTATGATGGTAGGACAGTTTGAACTGGCACCGGTAATTTTTTCATTATCATCATCATCATCATCATCATTATCAAATGGTGAGCTTTCTAGAACAAATTTAACATCGCTTTTGGCATCCTGACACAATTTTAACTTTGTAATTTGGAAGTAAAGCTCTTTGTTTAGCCGTGATCCAAACATTATATGCAACACGAAGTCGTATAATACAGTTTTTTGTATTTTTGATTGATTACTAAAAACAACTGAAATAGCTACAGGTTTTCTTGTACTTCCTATAGCCTTACTTGTACCTTCTCACGCTGCGATATGAATAACAGAACGAAAGGTGTAGTTCATTTCTATTATTTTCTTTCTTTTCTGTTTGCGTAGCGCATCATACCACGCAGCACAGGTAGTCATAATTTTCTGTCGCCAAGGCTATTTGTTGGAAATTACCAAGTTGCATCTACATATTTATTCTTATTATCCTTATGAACATACAAAAAGTTGGATTCTTGCATTTTCTAAGGGTGATTAGGATATGGTTAAGACACAGATATTATACCCAGCTGTAGTTTAAAAACACAAGGCGCAACGTATGGCATGCCGGTTAGCTGCGGAATACCAAGTCATAGTGCATCCAACTGAGACAACTCCCATTGTTTATAGTGCGGCAACACTAATGTGTAGAAAACGTGAAAGTTTCACGAGATTTGTCGGGAAAATGTATAATAAATTAGATTTTGACGTAATTGTCGATCGATGATGAGATGAAAACGATACATTTGATGTTTCGCGTCCTTCAAAGCCGCACAAGAATGAGAAGCTTGTAGAATTCTTTTCTGCAGAACTCATTTTACCTTAGGTACATGCGGAGTAGAAAACATGCATCTAAGTCTACGGTTATGCTCTGTTTGTGAGAGGGAAACGGTGGCGATGCAATAGTGTTTCACACAATGAGATAGATTGAACAACAACATTAGCAGATTTGAAATGTCGCTAGCGATGCATCGCATAAAATCACGCTACGTGTAAAAGATTACATCATGGTAATATGTTTAATGAATGATTCGGTATTATTTTGTACGAAACTGGACCTATATGCAGTGATAGTATAGGAACAAATCATGGTTATATTGCAAAATGAAACGAGCTCTCATTACCGATTCAGATTTTTTTTCTATTCTCATCTGAGTTGCACATGTTTATAATGTGTAGAGCAAATGCCGAATGAATTTATTTCGTAAATTCTATGCATAAGTTATCAATTCCAAACGATGTTTCTCTGCCTTTTGCACTTGACTTCGAATCCTCAGCTGAGAAAGAGACAGTGTCCAGGTATGACCAATCCAGATCTACACGTTGCGATTGCATTTGTAATGTGATTCTTCTTGTATTGGAAATTGTTCCACCACGCTTGCCTGTAATTTCTAATATAAGGTTGTTGTTCGAAGCAGATGCTACTATCAACGATTTCAAACTAAAACTCTTAGCAGCATTATTGATCATGTGTAGATTTTGACCATCTTTATTCACTGCAATAAAATGACCACTTGTCAAGGCATTAGAATAGCCTGACAAGCCATTAATCTGCTCATGATAAGTGACATTCATATAATTCGCATTTACCCATTGAAAACCAGAGTATCCAGGTGGAATGGGTTGTGGTATGCGAACAGCATTAAGAATATCATCAAACGTTATTAACCTTGGACATTCTTCGTAAAAAGAAAATAATACGAATTGTGAGTCAAAACAATGTAACGTTACTCGGTTGGACAGGAGTCGTGGCTGTAGTTGACCACGGTATCGATGTCGTTGATGTAACTACTACACCAAAAAGAATTTGTAAAAGTTTTCGATAAAATGCTACCATTGGACGGCAATACCTGTTTGTTGAGTTGTCGCTACTTATAGAGAAGGATTGTAATGGAGAAAGACTAGTTCTGTATTTACTTGTCGTTGGTGGACACACCCGTTGATCAATCATTGACACAGGATAACAAACCGGTGAATTCTGACATCGAGGATGATGAACGCAGATCGTATCCGACGACTGACAAGTGTTATTTGCAGAATTGCATGGCGAAAGATGCGAACAACTTGGCCAAAGAAAACCGCATACACCAGTGTCGTCAGCATTCGCCATATGAAAACAACCGCAGGCACTATTTACCGAACATTGCCCGTATTGACCAACGTTCTGACATACTTGGGACCTCACTTGAGCTATGATACTAAAATGAAAAACTCGGAACCAACTTTAAAATAACGAAGATAGCACTCACCTGAGCAGAAAGAGTGCGAAATACGAGATGGTGCTTTTCGTCATATTGAGTGATTGATATACAAGCGGTATCGAGCTGATATTAATTTAAGAAAAAACGGAATATGCCGAGTAATTCTGCATATCATGTTTCACATATTTATTCGATCCAAGTAGAAAACAAGAAGATTTATATAAGATTACGAAAAAAATTCGAGGTAATGAAGATCACCACGTGACTCTTTCAAAGAGAGAATACCATGTTTTAATATTATTTGAATTGTCTTAGAATTTTATCGTTCCAACATTCCTGTCTTGAACTAAATCACAGATGAAAATCTTTCCTTGGCAATATTGTTCGTTATTCTTATGGATATATTTAAAGATAAATTCGCAGATGAAATCAGCGATAACCATCCAACTAATTCCCGATCCTGAACGAATCGAATAATACAGACTATCGGTCTAAGTTCACCGAATGAAAACTCACCAATAGCTAAAAACAGATAATACAAATCGAATCCTCCCGCTTCGCCAGTGATTGCCAATACAAAACGAAGTCCATAAACTTTGGTCAACGTGCGATATTCAATCCCGTTGACACGATATTTATTCACATATCTAAAACCAAGACCGATGTAGTAGCAAAGAGGAACTAATGCATATCCTACCGGTAATTGATTCCTGGTGAAAAAAGATCTTCTCCATCCTGCAGCAATTTAAAAGAGTAAGTAGGAAAACATCCGGTACGGTCGATTTCGAAATCGAAATTACATTGCCAGTTTTGCTTGATCTCGATTAAACCGCCCTAGTAGAATTCAAAGGAGAATATATAACAGAATATGGAATCATTCCAGTATTACATGAGAATACAATGCCGTCAGATTCTTTGTGGAATCTTCCTTGTGAAGTCTTTCAAGAATATAACCAATACGAAAAATCGGACAACGTGCAGCATTATCAGGATTGAACCGACAGGAGAATTTTGTGTCATCATTCACAGTTCGTCTATAGAAATCAACGAAAATGAGTGTCAACGAAAACAAGAGAGAAAAGCCAACGTACAGTTTTATGTTGAATTCGCCGAACGACACGATTGTTTTAATAAAAACAGTAAAATTCTGCAGATCACTCACATCAAGTTGATCGTCTCTAAAACAGAAATTAATCTAGATTTTTCTATTTGGAATTAATCGAACATCGCACGTCGAATTGGATAGTTCTTCAGGACACCAAGCATTTATTTCACAGACGCGTTTCGTTCGATCTTCAAAACTGGGCACACATTTTCCCGTTTGAAAACCTACGTACAAAAACCGTATAGTATAAGACAACAAGCATCGATCTGCACATCTGTTTACCAAATGTATTATTTGTTGGTTTTCCTTGTTTACAAGGATTATTTATTTCATTACAGAACAATTGTTCATTCAACGCCTATATTTTCACACATACGTATGCGATGTTTGTTACAACTGAATTGCGAACCTACACTCGGACAGACACTGAGTGTTTGGTCGTAAGTAATTGTTTTGCGAGTGGTGATGAAGAACGCATTTTCTTCCTGTAATCATAGAATTCATTTGGCTAAGGGAAATAGAGTGCTGAGTGATACATACGATTGGTGGAATAGCGAATTCGCTTGCATCCCATAAAGCTTGCGTTTGGTTGTCTAAATATATATTCAAAGAAAATCATCCTATATCTGTGAAATGTCTGCTGGGATACCAGGGAGGACTAATGGATTCCCTACTACAACACGTCCGATTCCTTTGACTTTGATAATGCTTGAGCCATGTGGTTCTTGAAACCGTTGGTATCCTTTTCTTCTCCAGACAATATAGCTAAGAAAGATAATTGGGATCATGGAATAAAACAAAACGTCTGTGACTACTAACAGAAAGATATAGGACAAAATAATAAGTTGAAGTGCACGATGTAGTATGCCGACGAACGTGCGTTGTACTTCGATTTCTCGCACACTCGAGTAGTTGAAAAAGAAAGCAGATATTCCCGATGAGAATTTATGCAAATTTTCTGATACAGCCATTGATTAAATAAAACTACATTGAACTGTACGCAAAGGAAAATATATACTTGTAAAAACTCTTCAGAAAGATATTTGATTCTTTCGCCCGGCAGCTTTTCCGTCTTGCTTTTGTTGACGTAGATATCAATCGGCTCCGTGTTCAACAAGAAAGAAAAAAAAAACAAAATTGATTATTTCTGTTGTATGAAAATCAAACAGAAAAGTCAGTCATCTGATCAGTTATTCTCACTTGTGAGTGCAAACAAATATGAGTCATCGGTTTTGTCAGATGCAGTTTCCACTTTATATTAAAAGGAATAAACAAAACATAAAAAAGAGTCTTTTTAGCCGGCTGCACCTATCATTTAGACTTAGTCTTCTTTCAAAACTTCGGTTTCGACGATCTTGCGCACAGCTTCTAAATCGTCCTCAGTGGCAATGAATGGTAGATTTCGTTTGGTGTAAACCGTATTCATAGTTTGAATTAATTTCGTGAAAAATATATTTAAATCACGAGGATGTCGTAGGAGCCGTATGTATTTGCTGCATAACTTCTCGTCGCCAAATAACGAACATATATCTGGTAAGCGACGGCATTGATGTTTTGCTTGTTTTCGTAAGTGATCCAAAACATAGTTGGCATAATTGATCAGTTTGAGTTCGTCCCATTCTAGTTTAGTGACAGGAATCTTGTCTTGCCGACTCCACGAAATATTAAATGGAGCTTTCGGTATTTCCGGAATAAAGAAGTGAAAGGAAAGCTTATTGAGTTTATTACCGCCATTACCCCAATTACCCAATGCCATTTGCAGAACTTCATCATTAACTGAAGAGTTCACAAACGTTTGCAATGCGCTGAAGTTGACGTCTTGTTTATCGAAAAAGATCTCTGTTTCATCAAGCGAATCCATTATCACCGTTATACCAATATCCACCATGTTGAGAAAGTTCACAAGTATGCGTAATTGATCACGATAAGAACGCTCTAGTAGTGATGCTAAATCGTATCCGGTTTTAACCTTCATTGCTACTAGTACTTTGAGTGCATCCGTATTTGTACGGTCCAGTTTGACTCTAATATCTTGATGTTTCGCGGTCAAATCGTTGAACACTTTTCTGTCGAGGATTGATTCCGAAATGGCATCATCACACAATTTTCTACTCCAAAAAAACCAAGTAGAAGTCTTTGTTTCAGGAAGTAATAGTTCAAACATGTTGCATAACGTTTGGGAATTCTTTGTTGAATAAAATCCTAATAGAGCAGCAATATCTTTACGGATTTGTAAGGTAAGTCGATTAATGTTTTGTTTTACGGATGGAAAGTATTTTTCGTCAACAAGAACTGCCAACATCTCAGTTAACCAGTAGTGGCAAACTTTAAAGATGAATTCAAGTTATACATATGTGCAACATAATGCGTGTGTGGGCATTGGATAATTCCCAGTATATGAAATACATGTGAAAGGAAAATCCGACATATGCTGTAATGGACATCTATGTAACCAAAATTAAGAAATGATACTAATGCTTAGGAGTTCGTACAAAACATTCGGAACAAAAATTGATGCGTTTGGATTATCCGATATTACGTGTTGATAGTGTTATTTGCACGCAGTATATAAAACTCGATTCGCGATGCTATAATTAGTATGACAGTCTTCTTTTTCGTTTTATGCAACATTATGAGATATCACTGAAGGCCAAAGAAAAAGTGTTGCCGTGAACGGAACAAATCCTTGGGAGATTTTCTGATTCCAATCAGCAATCGGTTGAAATTGATTTTTTCGAAAACAATTCGCTGATGCCGCATTACAATAAGGTGCTACGATCACAAGTGTGCACAATCCTTGACTACTTTGTAGTTTAGCAAGGTTAATTAAATGTGTCGCGATGCCTCGTCGATGATAATTCTTGTTAACACCTATTTGCTTTATGTAATGAATCGTCGGAGATGAAACCAATTGTATCCATTGTTGATCAGCTATTGAATTCTTGTCGAGAATAAGCTCTCCATGTTGGGAGTCTGTATCTTTACGAAGATATTCGATGGCTGTTAATAATAAATAACCTGCTAATCGATTTTCAGCAGTATCCACGATGCAGATTAATACTGATTGTGGAGACGATAGAATATCTTTGAGTTTTCCTAATGACCATTGGTGAACAAGAAAACCAGCTTCATCTGTAGAGTTTCTCATATTTTCGAATAATAAACTTGATTGACATTCAATAACTAATTGAGATATTCGATCGAGTTCAACATGGTTTCCATTGATGGCATATCCAATTAAATATTCGCTGAAATCTTCCTTGCGAACCAAACCATTGTACAAATCGTCCTCGAATAACGATCGTACATCCATTGTATCGGCCATCCTTGCTTTTCTTCTCTACGCATGGTTTTAAAACATAGATAACTCGTTTTGTCGTTCTGTCGATTGTGAGAAAAGAATCACGTTGCTTAATCGATCCGAAATTTGTTTTATCACATGTTTTTTTCTTCACGTGGAATTATTTATTTTTCATCTAATCAGCGTGTAGTTTAAATACTTAAGACTCAGACTAGTAAACACGAACATTGTCTTAGGAATCTTCGTAGTGCTCGAATATTTTCTTTGTTTTTCTCTTGGAAGCTTGATGTTCTGATTTTGAATTAGATTGGGGTGCTAATTCTGTCTGAACTTGCTTTTCAAAATAAACTCTAAGAACGTCACGAGCTTTTTGAACCTAAGACGATCAAATCAATGATTCGAATTCATTTTCTTCTCGCTTAAAACACAATCGGCGGGATTAAAGTTCATCATCGCCCAATTCGAGTAGCATCCCTGTTATTTTGCCTTTGTCATTTTCGTTGCCATCTGACAACTGTTGAATTATTGCGAAAAGACATTCGCCAAATGCTTGTTTTCTTTCTTGCTTTGTCGTTGCAGTTTGAAGAAGACTTTTGGAGTTCGGCCATTGCCGGCATTTATAGCACTTCAAAGAATAACTCAAATCTACCTATGTGTTTTGATTCAAACTATATCAATTGCAGGTGGATCAAACACTCGTTGAAATTGTTCGACTTGAGATACATCAATCCATGCTAATCTTATACATGCTGAACAGGCACGATTAGGACGGGAAGCCATTTTGTATTGCAGATAAAGATTTTAAAAAAATTGTTTCTTTTTATTCTACGTGTTCGATAGACGCTATGAATCATACATCAATTACGAAATAAAGTCGAACTCGAACAAATCACTCATGTTCGGAGTGATAGTTGCTATCGTGAAAAACGAAACATTATGTTTAACTTATATGTTTCACTTCGAAAAGGCTTATTTGCAGTTGTATTATTTCCAGCGTCGTTTCGTGCATGCAAACATCTGAACAAACGAAACTATGGCTACGAGTTAGGCAAGAGGAGCATGAATACACTTTTTGCCAGAAAAAAAACAGTGATCAGACGTTTGCTGCATGATGGAGAGTAAAAGTCGTAAATTCTAAAGATAAGAACAAAAATAATTATAAACGGGTTGGAGCGTTTTGCGACAAACTAAAACTTCTCGGTAAATACTTCACCTATAGAACGTATACGGTTATATATTTGTCGCCGAAAATTCTCACAAATAGTCTGATGGCTTGAGTTCGTGAGAACGACGTACAACCTGAGCAGGAAGAAATCTTCTCTCATGACAAAAAAAACGCACTCACTTCTTTATTATATTATAGATATCTCTGACCGATCTTAGTGAACAATTCGCACGCCATATCCTTTATTATTTCAGTGTTAAGTGTTAGAATCAACTGCAACGTATATATATGGCAAGCTCAACTTCCATGAATATATCAACCCTCATATGCGCAATAATTGTCGCACTGCTTATCAAAACCAACGAAATATCTGCTGCTTCCCAAAGTTATGACTCCACTTGCAGTTGTCTTGTACTCAACGGGAGTGTTTGCATGCATTATTCATGCAAAACAACAGTATCAATATCCTGCTTTGCTAGTGTGAGTCGTGTCGAACTTCCAGATGGCTCATCGAAATCTTTATCTCATCTACAAATCGGCGATCATGTACGAGTGAATAAAAACCACATCTACGAGCCAGTTATTGCTTTCATTCATGCAAAACATCATGGTCTCTTCGATTT